ATCTTGACATGGCATTCTTTGCCTTTTCCTCTGTACTTTTTTTTGATCCTCACATGAGGATATTTTCCCATTGATTTTCAGATAGAGTGGGAGGAAGGGAGAGGGAGGGAGGGGGAGAGAGAGAGAGAGAGAGAGAGAGAGAGAAACATCAATGTAAGAGAAACACACTGATTGGTTGCCTCCGGCACAGCTCTGGTGGGCTGGAGATTGAACCGCATCCAAGGTATGTGCCCTTGACCGGAATTGAACCCGGGACTCTTTGGTCCACAGGCCGATGCTCTAACTGCTTCTCTCTCATATCTAGGCTGTGTGTGGCCATACCCACGAGCAGACACAGCAGCATCCCCTGCTTCCTCCTCGTTCGGATGTGAAGTGAGACCAGTCCGAACAGACCTTAGCGGCTAGCAGAATGCAGACTGCGAGCTGACTTCTGGACAATTCCTCCTCCCTCGGAGCCGGTCAGCGCCGTCCTGTCAACACACGGCACCTCCACTGCTGTGACTCTTTCGGAGCCCAATTAAACAATAGAGGGAACACCGTTAAAAGGCACTTGACCCACCTGCCACTGACTGGCTTGGGGTGGGAGGACCACGCAGAAGCTCGTGAAGCTGAGGTTCTGGTTTCACTGGAAGAGGAGGAAGCGGCCGTACACGTGGGCACAGGCTGCACTCACTCCCCGCGGGCGCGCTGGGGGCTGGTGCCGAAGGAGTCTGCTGAAGACACCAGACCTTCGCGTGGCAAGGGTGAGCCGCCGGGGCGGGCTGTGAAGGTGACAGAGGGATGGACAAAACACCTGCAGCCAGACACAGGTACTCTGGGGAAATTATGTGAGTTTACAGTCGCAAAGACAATCGCCACAGAACAGGAAAACGGCTTAGAGAATACGACTGTGCAAACCTGAAAGGGTAACAAGAGGGGACGGTTAAGCCTATTATGGAAGTCCACAGAGCAGAGTCCCGCAGCGTACGGGAAGTGACTTCATACAATCATGCAAATGGAAATATTGCACAGTACATTCTGTGAGACCCAATTTCGGTTAGAAAGATACACACATACATATCGCTGGAAAGATGTTGAATACCAGTGCTCCTCAAACTTGAAAATGCATACAAATTTGCATATTAACCAGAGCGAGGGGTCCAGTTGGAATTCAGTCTGATCCAGCAGGTCTGGAGAGGTCTGAAAGGACATTTCCGACAAGCTCCTGGGAGCTGCTGTCTCCATGGACCACATTAAGTAGCAAGGACACAGACCAGGGTATTAACAGTGATGCTTACGGGATGATGAGACTGTTGATTTTTGCTTCCTTCTTCCCTTAATTCGTATTTATTTTCTAATTGGGTTAAAAATTAAAATCAATGGGCATGTGTTGTTTTATGTTATGAAAGAAAAACTATTTTAAGAAGAGAGAAAAGGTGAGACAAACCAAGATGTCATGGGAGATATAATAAAACTGCAAGGAGGAGCCAATATGAAATTCAGGCAAAGGAGGGAACAAGCACACCTAAGAAAAGGGTGGAGGGACGAGGGGAAGGAAGAGAGGGGCTCCTCTGATAACAGCGGGTAAGAGAATTCTGGGGCCAGTGGACACGTGGTATAGAACTGTTGGAATCTGGGGTATGAACAGAGACTTTCTTACATGGGAATAAAATAAAAAGGAGAGCAGTGGTAAGACAGGTGCAGACCTGAGCTGCCCAGGTGCAGGGCGCTCTGCCAGGTGCACACGGGAGTCCAACTGGGCCCATATTGCCTCAGGGACTAACGGACCCGAAAGAAGGGCCTGAACGACCCCCTCCGGTTTGAAGGACATTCTCTAAGAGGGACAAGGGTGCAATTTGGACAACTAGAAAGCTAATGGGAACTTTTAGAAAGACAGTTCATAGGCTATGCTAAAATTCAGAATATAGTAGCCTTGCATGATCCCCAGGAATGTAGGAGTGAGGGAGTCTCAAGACCACGGCTGGGCCAGACAAGGCTGAGCTCCCGTCTCACTGAGCTTGGATAGAATGAGGCCCCGAGAATGCACAGAGAACAGCATTTGTTGTCTACAGAAGCCCAGCCTGACCACGGCCCCAGACGGCACTCACTCCCTTTGAGCGACAACAGCAGTGAGAGTGGTGAGTGCTGACCCTGCCATTTGGCACAAAACAGGAAGTGACAGGCCACAGACCTCACAAGGCGCCATTGCCACAGATGGGGATGAAGCCCAGGTGTTCCGTTTCATCCAGCGCCAGTCTGAGATCTCAGGGAAAGGGGCAGGCAGCAGGTGCTATTTGTTATCAGCCACTAGTAATTGCTTGGCAACACCAAAACTAACACAGATATCAAAATCATACAATGGTATTCACATACCATCACTGAGTTAACAGACGCCACCAACAAAAGGTGGCCTGGAGCGAGACTCCACCCACACAGCAGAGCGCCCTCTGCTGGGCATGAGAGCGACTTAGATAAACAGAGGGGGCGGGGAAGAAGTCTCAGATCAGAGAGAAATCCTGGCTGCTTTCAAGACCCCACACATAATGGGGAGACACAGAAACTTACAGAATAGCCTGTGGGTGCAGGGTTTATCATCTCCAGACATCCATAGTATTTAACAGCACTGAACTCACTCACTCCCCTTTCCAAGGCTTTCTTTATGTCCATTTCCTTCTGTGGATCACTCTTCCACTCACTGACAAATAGGAAGCGTTTTCTGGTAAAAAACTATTTAGGAAGCTGTTGACCAAAGCAGGTCTGAGGCACTGGCTCATTCTGTGAGAGCCCGTCAGGGCCGAGAGGCCCCAGGAGGACTTGGCAGGTGGCCTGGCTCCCCTCCTGCTCCCTGGCTCACCCCCAGAGCCCTGCAGCTCCACACCCCTCACCTGTCCTGCATTCTTTCTCCCTTTGCCACCTGACGACACTGTACTTCAATAAGTTCCTTGCAAATGTGATACGACTGTTGTAATCTCCTCCCTTGCTTAAATCATTCTTTGTTAATTATATGATGTACGCCTCTCTGTTTTTAATACTTCTAAGGTCTTAGGACAAGGTCCACAGGCTTGTGGTGCCGTCACAACTGTAAACCCAACCATTTTAAAGACCATACCATTTCGTTCTAGTATTCCAGCATTCGGTGGACAGCTCTCGGATTATTCTACATTTTACCTGACGACTCAGCCTCCATTTTCCTCACTGAAAAGTCCTGGGTTTTCTTGGGTTTATTCTTACATGCAAGCCACCCCTCTCTCTCCCCGGTTTAAGGACACTCTATGTTCTGACAAATTACTGAACCCAGTGAGGGGGGTCAAGGGAACCTGAATCATAGCTGGTTGGTCATAAGTACTGGAGGCCTAGACTTGGGGTTGGTGTCTGAAGTGGGGGCAGTCTTGTGGAACTGAGCCTTAGGAGGCCCGAGCTAACTCTGCCTAGTGTTAGCTCCTTATTTGGTGCTGGAAGTGCTGTGAGTAAAAATCAGTTTCTAGGAACACGGAGCACCATTTGGTGTGTGATGACTTGGGTCCCTCATAATGAAGGTCTGTGCCAGTTATTTCATGGTGTCCTTAGGGAACTAAAGATGCTAGGTTATTTACGTCGCCCCCTAGTGGCCTCAAGTTGCTACTTTAAAAAGGATTAAGATTAATTCTGTGGGCTCCTCCCTCTCGGTTCAGTATGACTGTAAATATAGTTGCTTCTAGAAGTACTCCCCTAGACCTTCTCTTAGGCTGCGGACTGGAACCTCTTGCTCGTCTGCAGTCAGGAGAAATCAGATGCCCAAAGTCCCCGGTCACCCTGGATGGATATCAATTCTGAATCCCTAGAGTCTGGCCTGAGTGGCTCCATGCTGGCTACACCAAGAGCGTGTCCACTCAGGACTGGATTTGTTTCCCATTTTATTATTTCATTTATTATTTATGCTACAAATGGCACATAATGAAACTTACAAGAAAGTTTATGAGCAAAGAAAATACTTTTGAGGACACGAAATGCAGGGTACACCACTGGAGAACAGGAACTGGGGACTAGCACACACATCAGATAAAATCATGTCGACTTTGGGTCTAAGTAAACTTAGAATGTGGACGGTTGGCATGTTTACCTGCAGAATCAAGGACAAAGCTACCCTAAAACGAAGTACTGAGTGTTATTCCGTTTCCACCCTCTATCCCAGAGTAGCTTTCATAACATTGAGGGTGATTTCAATTTGTCAGGTTTCCGTGTAAGAAAGTGTCAGTGACAGTGATCTTAAAGGAATCACAACTGCTTTTCTTAAAGAACTAAATTAGGTGTGAAACACACCAGTACACACACAGCCACCACCACCCTACCCTCTGTACTCAGGGAGCAGAAACATCAGCAAGCAGATGCCTCGGAGCCTGTCTCTAGCCCTGCGCCCCAGCTTTGACGGCACTAGAAGTCTCTCACTCCCCAGGACCCCGTCCAGTCTGTGCTCCTCACCCCAGCCTGACTTGATTTTCTTGTTCAAACTGCCTTCCTGTGCTAAGACCTGCTAGTTCCACAGGGGATTTGGATTAGAGTCTACAGGCCATCCAAAACCCTAACAGCTTGGTCCCCTGTACCCTGCCAACGTAGTCCTCCCCTCTCCACCTTCTCCTCGCTCTCTCCTCAGCTGCACCCACGTACACACTGGGCAATACCAGGGGCCCAGGCTGCCCCGAGACCTTTGTTTCAGTTGTCCATTCTTCCTTCTTCCTCCATACCTACCAGTCAAAGTCCCCAAACCTCCAAGCCATCTCCTCCAAGTACTCAGGAGGTTCTATTCTACTTGGGTGTGGGCCCTCCCTGCCTGCCTCACACTTAATTTTTTGTATTTTCACTCCACAGTCAGAGCTATTTAGGAACGTGTTTATCTCCCCTACCCGACCTCCAGCCCCCGGAGAGCACTGCTTTCCACACACCTCCCAGCGCACGAGAGGCAGTGGGGAGGGGACAGACCCCTGCTCGCTAACAGCTGCGCCAGGCCCCGGCCCGCGCGGAACTTGAGCCCTCTTCATACTTACGGTTTCCACAGTTGAGACCACCAAGGCCAAATGGACAACTGCAAGTCAACAAAGAAAAAGAACAAGACTTAGTTTCAAATCTCAGAAGAAATCGCTGAGGCAATTCACTGTGTGGTTTCTGAATACGGTTTGTAACACATCAATCAGAACAAATGAACAAGAAGCCTACCTCATACAGGTTTCATTTTCAAGCCTGTATCCATCTTCACAAGCTGAAAGAGAAAAGGACAGTCCGTGACTGTGTCTACCTCCCTCGGCCAAACTGACAGTCACCCAACCAGCCACTCTGAAGTCCACAAGAATATTCTAGAACCAGAAGACCATAGATAGCTTTAGAATGATCTATTATCTGGGTTAAACACTGTTGTCAGCTCAACTCGTAAGTTTACGAAAAAAAATGTTTAACCTCTCTGGGGCTCCTAGTTTCACATTTATAAAGAGTAAGTAATAATGATACTATCTGCCTCATAGTTTCTTGGAGAGATTAAGTAAAATGAGGCCTGTGACCGGCTCAGCTCAGTGCCTGACACACAGCAACCACCAAATACCTGTTTGTTTGTTTTTAATCCTCACCCGAGGACATTTTTCCATTTTTTTGTTCAGACAGAGTCGGAGGGAGAGAGAGAGAAACATCGCCGTGAAAGGGACACATCGAGTGGTTGCCACCCGCACGACCAACCAGGGCCGGGGACAAACTGCAACCGAGGGACGTGCCCTTAGCGGGAACCGAACCCGGGTCTCTCTGGACCGCAGGCTGACGCTCTTACCGCTGAGTCAAACCGGCCAGGACCCAATACCTGTTTTAAATTATTTCCAATAGACGCAATGCTCTCTGGGAGTTCCCTGTGCAACAGCATGTACGCAAAGACAAGTGCTTCACCTTCATCAAGTCGAACCTTGAACCTGCTGCTGGCCCCACAGCCCCCTCCATGAGGTACTGGGTGCCATCCTCTGGGGCTGTGGTCCTAGTGGGTGCCTCAGTTTCATAAAGGCAGCGCACGCCATCATCTGAGCAGGGGATACTGAACACACCTAACGAGCCCTACTCGGCACACTGCCCAGGAACACAACTGTGAGCCCTCTGGTGGTGCCGCTCAGGACCACTGCTTCCTGAGGGCTGTGCCCGGCCCAGCCAAGGCCCTGAATCAGCAGTTCCTGAGTTATTGGATCACAGAACCCTTTCAACACTACAACCAGCTGACAGAAGGCCATAAGTTACAACACATGCTTGAATGGAAGCAGACAATAAAAAATGGCCTCACAGACAAGTCCATTGCTGCAAGGGATGATAAAATGGGATTCGTGATTAATGTATGGTATGCACCGCACAAAATCCTGGGTAAGGACAGGCACACAGCGCAGACAGCACACATGCGCACGGTGAGCCGCGATGCCAGCAGCGTGCACGGCCGGGAGAGGGGAGGGGGCGCCCTGCAGGCTGAGTCCAGAGATTCGCAGACTCCTTGCACCCTCCCTTCCGCTTAATGCATAATAATGTTAACCTCATAGATGTGCTTAATAGTATTCTTCCTTCTATTTTTTTCTTTATTGATTTGAGAGAGAGGGGAAGGGAGAGGGAGAGAGACACAGAAACATTGATGAGAGAACCTTGATTGGCTGCCTCCTGCATGCCCCCCACTGGAGATCGGGCCCACAACCTGGGCATGTGCCCTGACTGGGAATTGAACTGGCAACCTTTTGATGCATGGGTGAGCCACACTGGCTGGGCTCTTCCTTCTATTTTTTTTATTTTTTTCTCCTCACCTGAGGACATTTTTGCATTTATCTTCAGATAGTGTGGGAGGGAGAGAGAGAGGAAGAGAGAGAGAAACATGGATGTGAGAGAGACACATCGAGTGGCTGCCACCCATATGACCCCAACTGGGGCCGGGGACAAACTGCAACCGAGGTACGTGCCCTTAGCGGGAACCGAACCGGGGTCTCCCTGGTCCACTGGCTGACGCTCTAACTGCTGATCCAAACCAGCCAGGGCTTCCTTCTATTTTTTAATGTTAGACATGAAAGGTTCCTTGCATCTACTGTGCTGTCACAGACTACAGACATGCCACTAGAGTTCTGTGGAACGGTTCGGCAAACACTGTTTTAAACAATCTATAATTCTCTCACAGCAGATCATGGAAGCTGTGACCCTGGATGGCACGGTTTTAACTCCGTGGAGTCGATTTTCCTGAGCTAAATCATCTTGTATTAAGGGCTATCTGGTGTAAGCAGCAGCCCTGGGCAAGTCCCGGCGGTGTTTATGGGGGGATGTCAGGGACCACATTACCACAATTCTGCTCAGTAACCTCCTGAAGAGGATGCTCCAGACACACTTCTCTCGGGCCCGATTCTAGAAAGATGGGGTGCTCCTGAACAGCTAGCTGTGCGTCATTTTACGGTCCCTACCTGTTTTCAGAGTCACGTTTCTCCCTTTGCCTTGGTGTCCAGGGGGCTCAGAATGAGGACGAGCGGCCTACCCGCAGCAGACACGTGGGACCTGGCGGCACGCCCCCTGCACAGCCGCCGTCCTTTGCAGCCTCGACAAGCAGTCACTCTATTTCCCCTTCAACCTGATTTCCCTTTTAAATCAATCTCATTTTCTTATGTACATTTTCGTTAGGTGATTTACTTCTCTTTTGCAACAAGGGAGAGCATAATCAAATCCCAAGTCTGTGGCCTCTGAGTTCCTGCAGCCCGTCTTCTGGAGCCTTGTCTGCGGAACGGGGTGAACACTCCTGCCTCCTGGTCCTGGAAAGCACTGTGCATGCAGTCCCCACGCTATGGCAGGTCACGGGGACGTGGGCGGCCCCCGGATGACCCATGGCTCTGTCTGCAGGGCAGCTCACTGGCATCCCAGAGACTCATCTCCACCCATCTCGGGACTGAGGCGGGCTGATGTCACACCTCTTCTTTCTATTTAAACACTTCTTCCTGGAGATGTCTTTACATCAGATCTACCCACCCAACCCTCATCTGCTGGGTGTGACTCTCATCCAGGCACACGTAAGCCCATCTGTCGTCCTGCCTGCCAGCTGATGGGTTGGGCTGTTTTCACTCAGCTTTGGAAGTATCCTGACTCCTAGTATAATGATATTCTTTATTTCAAATGTGCTCATTTGGTCATTCATCAAAGACTGACGCTACTGTGGGCGTGGCACTGGTCGAGGGCTCTTGGAAGAAAACCTTGTCATTAGGCACTCCTTCGGGCCTCAGGGCCACCCCCAGCGACTCTGACCCACAGAGCACTGAAGAGGAAAAGAATGTGGGAACAGCTAGCACATTCGCCCAGCTGGGCTTCCCTGTTGCCATGGAACACAAGAAAATTCAGGCGTTCTGTCCTGTTAAAAAAATAAGTGGTGAGGTCTTAAAAATTCTTTTGTTCTCTTGCAGGAAACTAACTATATTTGCTGCTCTATCATCCATGTGTTCCCTCCGCTGACATCTGTTGAGCCCCACGATGTGCTAAGCACATTCTAGACACAGGCACTGTCGCCCCCAAGGCACCTGCCGTCTGGGGAGAGAAAGAGACCTTCAAACAGGTAGCTGGAATTCATCACGATGCCTGCCTGATGGAAGCAGCCTAAGACACCTGTGGGAAGGAAACCTACTTTAATTTTTTTTTTTAAATCCTTACCCGAGGACATTTTTGCATTTATCTTCAGATGGAGCTGGAGGGAGAGGGGGAGGAAGAGAGAGAGAGAAACATCGATGTGAGAGAGACACATCGATTGGTTGCCACCCACATGACCCCAACCAGGGCCGGGGACAAACTACAACCGAGGTACATGCTCTTAGGGGGAACTGAACCCGGGTCTCTCTGGACCACAGGCTGATGCTCTAACCGGTGAGCCAAACCGGCCAGCGCCTTACTTTAATTTTATATGCCACTTGGAAAGTCTGGTAAGGACATTTTATGTGAGACACTAAGTACGTGTGTGTGTGTGTGTGTACGAAAGAGAACAAGACGGCCATGCTAATGTACAATTATGAATTGCAGAGATTTAGAAAACACACCCACACCTCTATCTTCCATTTATACAGGGGACTAATCCCTGATGAGCAGTGTCCAAAAGGAGCTCATTTAAAACGCCCCTGTGCTCCAGCATCAGTGGCCAGAAGATGTCACTGCTAAGCCATCAGACCCAGCTGACAGGGCTGTCACCCAAGGAGATCCCAAATGTACTCATCAGAGGCCTGACAGCTAGGGACGAAAATCTAACCAAGGAGGACACTGCAGAAATGAGGCTTCCTGGGGCCTCCGCAACAAGCCCAACGCTAACCAAGTGTGTTCGTGCTGCTTCCTGGGTCATTACTTGATAAGCATAGATGGCCCTTGCCTGTGTCATTGCATCTGAAAACCTCTGACAGCTCTGCTCTCAGTAACGCTGGTCTGTAAGAGACACGGACATGGAACTGCTGACTTGCAAGTAGAGGGGAAGGGCTGGCCAGCTAGGAGCAGCGGCGCAGGGCCTTTCCTGAGGCCTCCTAAGCTCCAGAGGCAGGGCGCACGGGGCCAGCACTCCTACATGCCTGCACTTCTGCCCATCCCCCCCTCCCGCCGGCGGCAAGGGCCTCAGCAGATGGATTTTAGCCGAGGTCACCTTCCCACGTGAAGTGGGCAGTTCCTAAGAAAAGCGAGGGACACTGTGCATTAAACCAGATGAGATGCAAGTAGGAAGCATCCTCTCTGTATCAAGGCGGCAGCCTGCCACTGAGAAACGCCGGGAAGCTGCCAGCTATTGGGCTCTGCCCACCACACGACACTGGCCCTCTCCCGCAACACCCCCGTAGGGCCTGCCTGCGGATCGGAGCGTGTGCGCTTTCAAAGCCCTTTGTACACAAACCTAAGCCACAGGGCCTGGAGCTCAGGACGAGAGCGCTGCCCTGAAATGTATTTTCATCCTCTCCTGATAGACCGAGCCCTCCAGAGGGAGGTCCCGACAGATATGAGGGGCAGGCCCCCTTTCCCAAGTGTGCAGTTTTTACTCAGATTCCAGAATATGTCACCAGCAGGTGTTGGCTGAGCAGGAAAAGTGAGCCAAACCCATTCTGGTGTGATGCATGGTTAAAGCCACATTCGGCCTTTCCGTCGCCGTTTTCCTGGGACCGTCCGCTGCGGTGGTCTTTCCCAGGTGGGGGACACTGTGTCTGGACCTGGGTTCATTTTAGGTTACAGCACTCCATTCACTGGGCAGCCTCGAATCTCAAACTAAGTGGATTTAAGCCGCACCTAAAAGGTTTGTGGAATTAGCTTTCTGCCCTCAAACACTTTTTGAAACCTTTCAAACTAAGATTCATCGATTCAACAACAACTTGGGTAAAATACAAGAGCAAATGGGGATGGTTTCCAAAGTACCACCGTACATACTGCCTTCTAAGTCCAAGAACTCCAGTGCAGTGTGACCACCCCCTTTTCGCAGAAGAGGAAGCAGGTTCAGTGAAGTGCAGTGCGTTGCCCAACGTGACAGGTGAGCAGTGAGGCTGAGGGGGGCTTGGCCCCCTCCCTGAGCCTCATCAGGACTGTTGAGGGAGCCACAGCGGCTGCTGAAAGGCAGAGCCTGGCCCCTGCTTGGATTACCTTTTTAAAAGATTAGCAGACAATAGCATAAAGCTTTGAGAATTAAAACAATACTTTTTATAACTTCCTTAAAGTGGAAAAAAAAAAAAAAGAAAGAAAGGGTGTTTCCGCCCCAGGCATTCCATTCTCTTTTCTTTCCCTTTGAATCCAGGGGCCAGGCCACAGCAGGGTCAGAATTAATGCTGTAATTCCAAGGACAATGTATTCTCTCTTGCTGTGAGCAAAATAAGAACTGGTCCCCCAGCCTGGAACAGCGACACCTAGAGCAGGAAGGGGCCGGGCAGAGAAAAGCGTCTCTCCCGTCCCGGGGGGCAGCCCCGAGAAGCTGTGCTACCTCGGCAGGAGTGGTCCATCTTGTTGAACTGGAAGTAGCCGGACCTGCACTGACACAGCGCCACCCCGTCCAGGTCAGTGCAGATGGAGGTCTCCTTGTCACATTCCGGAGTCTTCCGCTTGCACAAGCTGCCCGCTGGGATGGAAAAACAAGACAGTGAGACCAAACAAACCTCTTCCACTTCAAACCTGAAGTTGCAGGAACTTTCTGTTTCAAGAGGCTCCAGAACAGAGTTCCAAAAAGCCTGCCCAGGGCACACTCCCGTCAGAGGTCCCTTCTGCCTTCGGCCACTCCTCCCGTGTCGGCCCCCAGTCTGGTGACTAAAACGTTCACACAGCACGCCAGCAGACGGAGAAACCCAGAAGAAACAGGGTGCTGTCCCCAACTCCAGTGTCCACTGCAAATACGGCCCTCAACGCTGTGGTATGGTCTGGAGTAAGGACTGCAGGGGGGACATCAACACACGCCGGAAGCCGTGACCATGCTCTGCGGAGAAGGCTGAGGTCAGACCTGCCTCGAGCTGAAGTTGTCTCAACTCTGTGTCTGTCGGCCTGGGGGACGCAGCATGCTCCAGGGGACACAGACGATTCCCAGGGGAGGTGTGGGCTGTGGTTCAATTATGTCCCCTGTCTGCCTCCCCACTGCATGAACTGTGACTTTGGGCTTGTTTGTCTCTGGGTCTGCAGCACCTTGCACAGAGGCTGGCCCCCACACAGTGCCCGATACACACGTGCTGAAGGTGCCATCGGACCAGCCGTCACCGGGTCACCAAGAGAGACAGGCAGGCTGAGAAGGAGTCCGTCTCTCAGGCTTTCTACCTCTTTCACTCTAAGGCCCTATTTCTTACATGTGTCCAGCCCTGGGCACGTGGGCCTTGTTCATTTCATCGATGCAAAGAACCATTTCAAAAAGCTCTCGTTGAGCATACGTCCCTCCCTTGTATACACCGGACCCTCTCTGAGACTGAATATGGCAGACCCTCTGAGGCTGTATACAGCAGACATGACGAGGGTGCATTTTACCATCTATGATAAGTCCTCCCCTCCAAAAAGACACATGTCATTGGGGTACACAGACAATAGAAAAAAATGTGAAACCAACTGGAGAGTAAGCGGTAACTTATTTAGACCTGTGTACAGGGCAAGACAAGCCTGCTGTATGCGCTGTTGTTGGCAGACGAGAGCAAGCTCGGAATTGGGAGCAAGCCACAGACGGCGACGCTTATACTGTGCAGTGAGGACGGTCTCCCCTCCCCCACCTTAAGGAAGACACCAGCCTATTCTGAAACCAGCTCTGAACGTGGCAAAAGGGCCTCCACCCAGGCAGTTCTGGTGCCTAGAACTGACGCCCACACGGGGTGGGGGAGTGGGGCGGGGGTCCCAGCGTCAGCCTCCTTTCTGAGTCCTGAGAGCTGGGGACCTGGTGGACGGTCTGGTCACAGGGAGGTAAGTTTAGGACAGGACTTCAGTTCTCAACACTGAATTTCCTGTCTTTATCAGTGGAAGTCGATGTGCTAAATCAGAACCCTGTTTGTGTGTGTGATAGAATTTCCTTTGTTTATTGTGAAAAGTTTGTATTTAAGGGAGAAACATGTAAAAGTGGAAAATCTCACCAAGCAAACTCTGCGAAGCTGGCACCAGAGAGGTTCTACGGCCCCGCGGTCCCCGTCTATACTCTCTGAAGGCGGGGCCGGTCCTCCAGCCTTGATCTGAAGAAATCCCCCAGGGCGAACGGCTGCCCAGGCCAGCACCAGCCGTGTCCGGCAGCCAGCCTGGGTGCCTGCCTGATTAGATAGTTTCTGGAAGCCAATGCCATGTCCTCCTTTCGTCCTGCCTGCGGATCCAGCGTGCTGGCAAACACTTGCCCGGCAGAGGCAGTTCATGGGAACGCCAGGGGAGAGGGTGCTCTCTGTGACGGAGGAGTTGCTACCCTAAAAGAACATTCTTCCACAGGTCCGTCCGACGGAACCACACAGAACCCCGTTCCCGTTTGAAGCCTGGCGATGGGATTTTTCTACACCCACAGTTCCCATGGGCCTCCCCGGCCTGACACCCTCCAGACAGTGAGAACTTGAGTGAACCTAAGGCTGAGACACTGCCAGGGGCACTTTAAGGACTTGAACCTCTGGAGACATGACTGCTGCGAGGTTTGGGAAGGCCAGGAAATAGGTATTTTGTGAATTGAGGGGTAAAAACCCGCCTTTCAGTGGCCGTGTCCAGAGTAGCTGGTGAGGCCCAGAGGCTGGACACACCTGATGCCAGAGCCTGAGAGCTCCTGCTTGGGGAGCCCACCTCTCTGGCACCCAGAAAGGTGAGTGCGAAACCAAGCTGGGTGTGTCGGCAACACCTGCAGAAGACCTGAAATTAAAAACAGAGAAGTGAGCCCTGGCCAGTGTGGCTCAGTGGACTGGGAGTCGTCCTGGGCACCAAAAGGTTGCTGGTTCGATTCTGTTCCGGGCACATGTCTGGGTTGCGGGTTCGATCCCCGGTAGGGGGCATGCAGGAGGCAGCTGGTCGACATTTCTCTCTCTCTCCCTTTCCCTTCTCTCTAAAAATCAATAAAAAATCTTTAAAAAACAAACACACAAACAGAGAGAAGTGAGACGGTATTGAGCCAAGACGCCTGGATGCTTTCACGGGCTCTGCAAGGAGAGGTGAGGTATGGGGACCAGTGCACGTGGGGACGAGGGGCATGTGGGACATCTCTGCATGTTACTCTCAATTTTGCAGTGAGCCTAACACTGCTCTAAAAAAATTAAAGTCTTAAAAAAAAAAGAACGGGACCTCAGCAAGGAAAACAAACTTTCCCGTGAGCCCACACACCCCAGCTGAGAGGACGGGAGTCGGAGTGGGCAGGACATGAAATGAATTTACTAGGAACAAAGAAGTAGCCTCACACAATGCTGACCACATAGGATGTGCTCTGCGAGTTCTAATGAATTGAAAGGTCCCCGTCCTACTCCCTGGAGAGGACAGACTGGAGCCCTTGAATCACAAAAGGAGACAAAGTAAAACCAAAGAGCTCTGGCCTCAGGGTTCAGAGCACAGTCTACTGGGGCATGTGTGTTTAAGCTAGTTCTCCAATGATGCTGAATGACAGCGACTTCAATCCCAGAAAGTTTAGCCAGAGGCATGGATGCAAGAAACAGACGGACAGATCTCAGAGAGGAGGGGGGACGGGAAGAGATTCACCCAAGAACTTATACGCACATACGCATAGCCCATGGACACAGACAGTAATGTAGTGAAGGCCTGGAATGGGGCGGGAGCTAGGTTGAGGGGGAAGGAGGAGGATAGGGGACATCTGAAATAGCCAAAGATGCAGCATCTATCCAGGGAGAAAGGTTAACTCGGGGTTTGCTGCATCTGCAGAGCCCTGACCCCCGGGGAAAGTCCTGGATCTACAGCAGGCCGAGCACCAAACCTGCTACCTACGTACAACTCAGGTCCAGCGTCTGGGCATCAGGTGGGAGGTCCACACAGATTCCGCATCCTAACTGTGTAGTCAAATGAGCTTGGCAGAATCCGCTTTGATCACTTAGGAGACAGCCACAGGGACAAGCCCCTTTGCGAGGCAGCACTTTCATTCCAGTCTCCCATCGCAGAGGCAAAACCTTCCCTCTAAGACCCAAATTTGCCTTGTGAATTTATCTCTAATCCCGTTCTTTATCTGCTTTCCACTTGATGCACCGCAGAAGCTTTCTGACAGAACAGATAAAGCGAGAACAAGAATAGGGAGATTAGAACCACATTGGGCAGTCTGGCCTTCATCATTCTGGTCTTGTTTTTGTACATCGGTAGTTTGCAAACAAACAAAAATGACAGGTAATACTGCACAGGCTTTTTTAAAACTTACTGATTATCGCGATGAAGGTTTGGGGCACTGACAAGCAGGTATGTTCCGTGTGTGACTGTCTGTCTCCCCAGAGAGAACAGGGACTTTGCAAGGGAAAGAAGAGTGAGCTCCTGTGTAGGAACACAAGGGGCAGCATGCCAAGGACCAGGTGACTTCAAGACTGTGTGTGTGCATGTATGTGCATGCATGCACGCACATACACACGGGCACACATGTACAAAGGTGCAGCCACACGGAGGTCTTTTGCCTAACACCCATTCCAAAGACAGCCTGGCTCTGTGATTAGCTTTCCTGGACCTGAGCCCCAATACCTTACATTTCCATTCTAGGTGTGTACCTAACCAAATGGATGGGGTCCTCCCAGGGGGCCATTCCCTTACCTCTAAAGATCCGCCTCTGAGATCCCAAGAGTTGGCAGACCTCAGCAGAGGACCTGCAGGAGTTGACACACTGCTGCATCCCGTCGGCCAGGTCAAACAGCGTCACATTGGAGGCCAGGGAAAAGGTGGTTTGCAGTGATATGACCATGGTGCTGGACTCGCTGTAAACAAAGTGTGTAGGTTTTTATTTTATTTCATTTTATTTTTTTATTCCTCACCTGAGGATATTTTTCTATTTATCATCAGATAGAATGGAGAAAAAGAGGGAGAGAGAGAGAGAGAGAAGTGAGAGAGACATATTGATTGGTAGCCTTCCTCACGACCTGACCAGGGCTGGGGACAAACTGCCACCAAGGTGCATGCCCTTGACTGGAATCGAACCCGCAACTCATTGGTCCGCAGGCTGACAGTCTAACCACTGAACCAAACTGGCCAGGGCAAAGTGTGTAGGTTTTTAATTGTTCTAAAATTAAATGTGGGCCCCAAGGCTTTCGAAAAGTGAGTGTCATCTCCATTGTCCACAGAAGGAATGGGACAGCAAGAAGGTCCAGTGACTTTGGCCCTGGGTCACCCTGTGGCTTGGTCAAAACAGGGCCCAGTTTTATTGCTGCCACCCATGTACAAACATCCTCCCCTTTCTATAGACCGGTTCACAAGTGAACGTCCTTACCTAGAAGCATGAGCTGTGGATCGGGTATACCCAGGTATCGTTGAAAAACACATATTTAACTGAAAGAAAGAACAAGTTTGTGGTTAACTGTGAGTTAGACAAAAACCTTCGACCTGGAACCAATTTCCTATGTTCGGTATTAAACAGGCATTTTCCAGCCATCAACTTATCAGCAGGGGCTTTACGGAGGAGTGGCATCCTTCTTTTATTGTTCCCTTCTTAGATGCCTTCCTGCGCTCATTCTGTTGTTCCGTGAGCACAAAGGGGGAGAGGCAGATAATAAATCAGTGGGGGAGGTCTTGGCAAGAATGGAAGTTCAGAACAGCACCCTTGGATGCAAAACATCTTCAAAGCGGCAGATCTTTTCTAAGACCCAGGGTTTCAAAAAACTCACAGGCAACTGTTTATTTGGACTTTGCATAGTGAGCGAGCCTCGTGAAAAGGCCGGTTCCTTTCAGCTACCCCAGGCCTGGCAGGCCCCCCGCAGACCCCTCCTAATCTACAAGGAGCTGACCTCACTGAAAGACAGGTCCGCTTCAGAAGGGCTTTCCACGGGAAATAACGTTGTGTGGGTCAAGAACCCTTTTGTTGAGAGCAAATTAAGAGCGACACTGCCTGTGTTTGCCTTGTGCCCTCAGAGAGAGGAAATCCCTTGAGGGCATAAAGAAGGTACCCCGCCTGCTGCCCTGTTCCCTCAACATTGGGGCTGGGTTCCTTTTGCACAGCAGAGGGTCTCGGTACCTTGACTGGTGCAAACCCACCTGGCTCCAAAGGGCACGTGCCAGAGGCACCTTGCTCTTCAGAAGATGGATTCAAACGTGGGATGTCAGCCAACCTTACGGATATGTACGACATTGCTTGATACTGACAGGCAATGATTTATTATTGGCATTAGTACTTCAGCTTTTCCCCGCCCACGTAAAGACACAAATGGCACATTTCAGAATAGAACAGCATCTTGGGAAAGGCCAGTTGAGTGGCTTCTGCAGTCACTGCCTAAATCGTCACTATTTCCTGGGGTGTGGATGTCTCCTCACTAATAAGTTACATGTCAACACCCAGTTAAACTTGACAAGTCAGAGCAGCCATGGAGCATGGCGTAGGGGGAAGATCTGTACCTGCGCATGGGGTTCTAGGCCCCTGACCGTCTTAGAGGAAATACTGACCGACACACAACCAACAGGCAGGGGTGGTGGAGTGAAGAACACCAGGCATAGGATCAGAAGATGTAAAAGGAGACCTAAAACGCCTGTAGAGTAAAGAATTGAACCTTGCCCAAAGGGAGGCCTGGCCCTGGGCTCCTGGGAAGTAATCTCTAAGTCTTTGCAATGACCTGCCTTTGTTCACCCGGAGACCTGGGCCATTCCAGGTAGTCTGACAACATGATTTACGGTGCGGCCTCTGAGTTATATGGAATCCCCTGGACCTCCAGAGGGGCTGGGGGCTGGAGACAGCTCAGCCATACGGGCAGTTGACTATGTCTATGCATTGGATCTAATTTTTGTGTATGTGCTGCCAAAGTGTGCGCTCCATATTGGCTCTAGACACAAGACTCGGGAAGCTTCCCTGGCTGGAAATACTCCATGAAAATGATGCACATCATTGCCCAGAGGAGTTAACACTGTCCATGACTCCACAGGGAGAGGGCGATTGAAGCATCACCTGTGGACCCTCCTGGGCTCTGCCTCCCGCCTCCCCCACCCCTCGCCTCTTGTCCCTTGGCCGACTGTAACCTGGGTCTATTCACTGCAATACACCATGACCGTGGTGTGACAGCTTCGGGCGAGATCTGTGAGTCCCAGTGAATGATCAAATCTGAGGGTGGTCTGGAGATCCCCGAACTTGCAAACTGACGTAAAAAATGAGGGTGGTCTAGTGGACTGTTCCCTAACTTTGCACCTGCTCTATGTGTGAGCTCAGGCAATATCATCAACTTCCCGAGCCTCTCAGCTCTCCGTCGGTAAAGGTGTCGGCAACACCTCTTACAGAATGAGGCACTTGTCCCAGAGCAGATGCTCAGTAGGTACAAAAACAGAACTGGAATCTAAGTTTTACACAAATAAAATCCACAGGCCTATAAAATCCTAGAGGTTTTGGCTAATACACTAACTCTCACCCATAAAGAACAAGTAAAATTGAAATCAGACATCGACTGCTCTCTAAAACGTATTTTAATGGCAAACTTCGATTTTCTAGACACCAAATCTTAGACTCAGGGAGCAGCAGAGAAGCAAAACTTACTATCTCCGCTTCTTTTTCATCTCTTCTTTCTTCCTCTCCTTTTTATCCGCCCCCCACCTCGGACAAAAAGCAAGCAAAGAGGGAAAGAAGACTCAGCAGCCCCAGTTAACCTATGCGATGCGCTCTCAGCCCTGGGATCAGGAGGCATGTCCCATGCTGGCATTCCCTCGAGGGAAGAGAGCCTCTCCCCATGTTCCTAAGCACAGAACGTCACACAGCAGGTCAGCAGCAGACGGGACGGTAGGATTTTCTGGGTCTTTCCTCTTCACCAACAGCTTTTAGAGGTTCCTGTCACCTAAACATCCGTGACTATCAGGTTGCACGTGGAAAAGAAACACCAGCAGCTGACAAAGGCTGCACGTGAGGACATGTTCGAAGAAGCACTCCTCCTGGGCACCACTGGTTCTCAACACCCCCGTTTCCCAGAGGCCTTTCATTCCACCGTGGCTTACCTCCCAAACACGGCAGAAGTGAACAGCCAGAAGGTGCAGCCCATCCCCGGGAGGGTCCCGATTCTGAACGAAACCTGTTCTCGAAAACGAAGGCCCGGAAGGAAGACGCCTTTCGGGAAACTTACTGTTTTGGTGACCTCATTTTCAATTTCACGTGGGTCTGAGTGTTTCTCCGCGGTGGTGTTGAGAGACGTCTTCTTTAATTTAAACTCTGTCACGAAGGTTCTAACTGAAAATGAAAACAGAACCTGTTAGGCTACACAACAGGTGGACCTACACCAGGCTGTGCGTCTGTAGGTTTCTGGGGCCTCCAGCTCGACTCCACCTCAAGGGACCGTCTCTGAGCATCCTTTGTCCTCGAGGGTGGAGCCCACCTCTCCCTCGCTGGGCTCCTCTCAAGGACAGCGAGCACCTACTGAGCGGGGCTGAAGGCTCAGACCCAGTGACCCTGGGAGTGAGACTCCGAGGAGCCTTGCGTTTGTGGGAGGGCTGCTGCGAGGAGCCTCTTGACGTCTTGCTCATGGCCTTCCCATGAACAGACACCCAATACAGTTGTGACCCAGAAGAACAAGCTGGCCTAAATAACAACCTAGGAGGGAGGTGTAGGGCCAGGCCCTAGAAAGCTTCAGCGAGAGGAATGCTCTTGCCGATAGTCCTCCACCAAGGTGACGGGCTCTGGCTTCCTCTTCTCACCAGACTCGCCCCCATCCACCCCTATTCCTTTTGCCCAGAGGAAATGCCCATTTTATCCCTAATGAAAGAGGCTCCCAGAAGTCAGTAACTTCCCAAGGTCACACTGCCCTCAAGGACCCACGTGAACATTCAACGTCATGTGCGCCCATCTTCCAAGTTCTTCTCTACCCTCAGCCGCCGAGGAGTCTGGTATTCTAAGGACAGCCAAGGGGCGACAGAGAAAGGCTCCAAGCGTCTGTAGTGGGACCCCACTCCAGAGGCTGCCAAACTCCGTGATTATAAGCCGTGTCATGAAACAAGCCATATTCGAGATACTGTTGGATTCAGACATGACAGAAAGCCCCATTTTCAAGGCCCATTTCACTCATAAAATAAAATTCTAGTTAACATCAATTTGCGCTGATTGGGCCTGAGGGGACTGGAACCTACCAATGGGCAGGCAACCAAAAGTTAGCATCACCTGCTCTATATCTGGCTCTTATCTTCCTTGATATTAAATTCTTATCTTCCCCTCTGGACAGGAAAAAAGTAATAACCCGAAACACAGAAAACCCAAGCTGCTCTCTCGCAGAAAGCCTACTTGCTGAATTAAGAAAAAGGCCCACAAACGAGCCAGGGGAAACATTTAACATCCTATACTTACTGTCTAAAGCCCTTAATCCTTACTTAACATCTTTCTGCTTGTTCTACAGTTCAGTGCAGCCACTGCTCAGACTAAGCAGCAGGAGCTCTCGGAAAACATTCCTGGCCAGATGACAGCATTTCAGCTCTAATTTGCATGTTCCTCTGCTGTTTCTGAACAATGACGTTAAATGACTTGAAAAGGGAAAGATGATTGTTAACACAATAGACCCACTCTCCTCCCCAAACTGGTGCCCCGGGGACACTCCATACAGGCTTCCAGAAACGGCACCCTGCTCCTCCATCCCTGCAGCTCCAAGGTCCAGGGTGACCCCCAGACGCTCTGCCTAGGAACATGCAGACTGTCAGTGCTAAGGACACGGATCTCTTCTGAACTGTGACAGTAAACGTGTCCTCCGCTGTCAGTGTGACTGAAGGTGGCCTCACACAGCGTCCTCCTGGCCCTGCTCTCTCCCCAGCACCCCGCCATCCTCGTGTCTGCAGCTCGTCGCCTGGCTTCATGGCAATGTCTTACTTCAAATGAACTGCTGATTTACACAGGTTACCAAAAAATGATTTTTTAAAGGCCCATAATCATTACTTTGTATTCAGAGTGGTTTGTTATTTTCACTGCTTTCAATTCTGGTCCAAGTGGTCCAAGAGGTTAAAGACTCATGTTTGATAATACCTCCCACCTGGAGGTATTTTTTTTCTTTGTTTTTGTTGTTTTTTGTTGGAATTCTGTAGGAGTTTATTTGAGCCAAACTGACCGCGTATGGCGGGGAGGGCTTCGGGAAAGCTTGCTCAGATACAGTGCTATCTGGTCTTCACAGTAACCCCGCGTGGGAAGCAGACCAGGGGTAATCTGATTTTACAGACGAGGAAATTGAGGCTCAGGGCTCGTGAGCTGTGGGTGGTGGCTCTGGGGCTGGCAGCTAGGCAGGTGAGCTCCTGGGCAGGTGTACTTTCCACGCTGCTTCAGGACAAAATCATTTCCACCTTCTCCATTTAAAAAAAAAATTTTTTTTATCCTCACCCGAGGACAGTTTTGCATTTATCTCCAGAGAGAGGAGGAGGGAGAGAGGAAGGAAGAGAGAGAGAGAAACATCGAAGTGACACATCGAGTGGTTGCTGCCCACACGACGCCAACCGGAGCCAGGGGCAAACTGCAACCGAGGTACGTGCCCTTCGTACCTGGGTCTCTCTGGTCCGCAGGCTAACACACTAACCGCTGAGCCAAACCGGCCAGGGCTACCTTCTCCATTCTTAAACCCAAACTCCTGGCTTATTTCTTACAGGGTGTAGCTAAATGGAATAGGTTACCCAAAAGCAAATAAACTATTAGAATAAGAGGAACTCTTGATTTTGACTGGTATCTATATTCCTAGATTTTTCTTTCTTTAAAGAATGCTTTGATTGAATCCTTGTATTTTAAACAATTGTCAAAATTCTACCATTATTTTAGTAGGGTAGCAACTGTTGAAATACATGTCAAGGCCCAAGATGGAGCTGCTTCTGTCCAGGGTGCCACGTCAGCAAACAGAACTTTCTTGTTCCTATAAGGCTCTGCAGGGCCAGAAATGCAGCATATCCAGCCAGCCGATCCCCAAACACCAACTCAGCCAACCCTGGGCTCTATACTTATCTTCTTGCTCCTTGATCTTTCTACCTAAGGTCAGATGTGCAGCCCCAGCCGGTCACACACTGTTTCTGCCGTTCCACTTCTAACCCTGGGTAAAACTCGCTCTTGCCCACAACCCCTCAGGAAGAGAGCTCCCTGCTCGTGAGGCCCTGCATGCCCCTCCAGGGGTTGTTCTCCTTGAATACAGGATGTCAAACTCTTACTGCACCGTTTTAGCTTTGTCATCTGACATAACCTTCTAAAAGGTCTGATGATTCCCCTTCGTCTACAGGCAGCAGGAGGTCATGCAAATGATATTTCCAGAGAACAAAGACATTTGTTCTCTCAAAAAAATATTTACTGAGTACTTTCTGTGTGTTGAATATCACACTGGGCAATTTAAGGTGATTCAAAAACGAGTCACTCTACCTGCCCGTTTCTATCGAGCTTAGATAATAACTCCATGTGCTTCCCTTCTAATTTCTCCTAGTTATGTATTGAACTCTGCACTCCAATACAGGGCTATACACTCTCTGCAAGAAAGCTCTTACAATAAACACATTATGTGTGGTAGGAGGAACTGTGGGCTGGAAACTGGGCCTCCAGTCAAGCAGTTGTATCCACCTGGCCACTTAGCACCTTGTCAGGGCCTTAGTTTCACGCAGGTTGTTTGCTTCTTAATCTTAAAGAGGTGATTATATCTAAAATCAACCAGCTTCACAAATCTATCAAATTAGGAAACAAAATACGACAAATTGTACAGCACGATTATGGCAATAGCTTTGTCCAAATACAGCTGCCTGTGGACAAGAACATGAAGATTGTTTTTAAAAATGAAAAGAATGTGTGAATTTGGTAGGACAATCAGGGTTTTTTCCTTTCCTTAAAATGTTAGAATATCCTGTGATATATACACATTTTTTTCCCAACTGCAGGGTGGAATGCTTAAGCAAACGGTATTATGCACAAACGATGCATACTTATTCAGTCATTAAGAGGTTAGTACAGCCTGGCTGGTGTGGCCCAGTGGACTGAACGTCATCCCATGGACTGAGAGGTCCCAGTTCCATCCCAGTCAGGGCACATGCCCAGGTTACAGGCTCGATCCCAATCAATGTTTGTCTCTCATCAATGTTTCTATCTCTCCCTCTCCTTTCCTCTCTCTCTAAAAATCAATAAAAACATATTTAAAAAAAAAGAAGTCTGTGCAAAGATCACGACTGCAACTATGTAAAAATATAATGCACACTGAAAAGGTTTCCAATGAGATGCTCTATCTCTATGTGGTGGAACAAGAGGCAGCATCTACCACGTCCTTCTCTATTCCTATTCCTTCCGTTACACCTCGGATACACACTAGCTTTTTTTTTTTTTTTTTTTTTATCCTCACCTGAGGACATTTTTCCATTTTTTGTTCAGGTAGAGTGGGAGGGAGAGAGAGGAACAGAGAGAGAGAGAGAGAGAGACATCGATGTGAAGGGACACATCGAGTGGCTGCTACCCGCACGACTGACCAGAGCCGGGGACAAACTGCAACCGAGGTACATGCCCTTAGCGGGAACCGAACCCAGGTCTCTCAGGACCGCAGGCTGGCGCTCTAACCGCTGAGCCAAACCGGCCAGGGCCACACTAGCTTTGACTAGGGAGAAAAGCAATGTTACACTTTCTATTACTTTGCAAAATACATTGTGGCGTAGAAAGAATTCCAGGATAGACTAACTCCCTTACCCAAATTGCATATTCCTTTGTCCAACTGGTACCCAACTGGGCATCTGCAGGTGAAGGATCCCTGAGTATTGTTGCACATGGCCAGGGGTGGGCAGGGGTTCGAGAGGCATTCATTCACATCTGTAGAGGACAGAACACAGGCCATACTGAACCTGTATCAGACAGCAAAACCACATTCTAGGACAGTAGGCACTCACTAAGGGCCGAATGGCACTAGGTGTTGTGGAGCCCAGAGACGAGGAGTGCACGACCCTGGGGCCTGCCCACCCCTTAAGGGTGGAGGCAGCCATGCATAGAGCTAACAGTAAACACAAGGCAGGATTTGGAAGTACAAAGAAAGTAGCAGATTTTAAAGGAGGAGAGGATTAAGACTTTCAAAAATAGTATCTGGATTAAGACTAGAAGAACTTTAATAAGCAGACACAGGTGGCAGGGGGTTGGATTCTAGGCTGAAGCACCAGCACGGTGACGGCCAGGAGCAGGAATACAGGGTCTCTGGGGAGCTGTGGCTGGTCCAGGCCGGCAGGAGTGTAGGGAGCCTACCAAATGAAGCCAGATTGTGGAGACTTGTAAGCCTTATTGTCGGACATTATTCTGCAGACAACATTAAGCATGTTAACTCAAGTAAGCAGAGTATTCATTTAAAAATCGTACTCCCTTGCATTTTGGAGAAAAAGGGAGTTTGCCGACTGTTTCAATGTGCTATTATTGTATTGCAGAGCTCTGGAGATGACTCTTCCTCTTACCCACACTGCAGTCAGCTCCTTGCCAGGAAGGTGAGCACACGCATCGATACCCGCGGCTGGTGGGGTCTGCAACACACTTCCCATCATGAAGACAAGGGTTAGGGGTGCAGCTGTTCCCTAAAAACACATTCCAGGAATAAAGCAATTAATCACACAGGACATGTAAAGGCAGCTCTGGGTAAATCTTTCATTCTCCTGGCTAATATGTGATTCTTTCTTATTTATTTATTTATTTATTTATTTATTTATTTATTTATTTATTTATTTTTATCCTCACCCGAGGATATTTTTCCTTTTTTTTTTTGTACAGATAGAGTGGGAGGGAGAGAGAGGAAGGGGGAGAGAGAAACATCGATGTGAAGGGACACATCGAGTGGCTGCCACCCGCACGACCAACCAGGGCCGGGGACAAACTGCAACCGAAGTACGTGCCCTTAGCGGGAACCGAACCCGGGTCTCTCCCGACCGCAGGCCGACGCTCTAACCGCTGAGCCAAACTGGCCAGGGCTAATATGTGATTCCTGCTCACGTCTGTTTCCCAGCCTGGAGAAGCCACACTGCTAAACTAGAACGGGTCCGCAGAGCAGCAGCAGACCTGCGGTGGGGCTGGATTCCGGTGCTCGCGTGTAGATAGACACGAGTGTCAGACAACGGGGTCCCTGAATCAAGACCTGGGTCGAATCCAAATGCTGCTACAGGTCACTTGGTTCAGGACTGATGATGATACCGTCTTTGTGATACTGAGAAATTCTACTTGAATTAATGCCCATTTAAAACACATATTAAGGGAGAAAGGACCCCTGATCAACCATCCTCCTGCTGCAAGATTTCCCTTTACCTGGAAATCTCAAAATGTAACAATATGTGGGCCCCCACATGCGGGGCAATCATTGAGAGAACCGATCGGAGGCGGGCACTGCAATGCCTTCTCCTTGTGTGATGCAACAGTGAGCCCAGTAGGACCCACCGGGCTCAGGAGGCACTGGCTCCAATCACTGTGGACGCCCAGTTCCCGAGGACGGTGACCACAACTCTCCGTCTTGGTCTGTACGACCCGCACCGTCACGCTCCAGTGACATGACAACTGCCTAGTGAAGGTTTCTGACACGTGCTTAGAAAAGCCAACACACACAAAACAACTGCATCGTCTCCAAGGAGAAAATCGGTGATAGAATGAGAAGAAGGAGGAAGAAGTCAAGGGCTCTAACTCCAAAAGAATAACGCTGCCGGGCTAACCCTGAAGATGGTGTTCTGCTCCTCACTGCTCCTTGAAGATGCCTAAAAGCACCCGCTATACATCCAAACACTGAACCCCTGGATCCTGCCACAAAAAATGTATTATCACCAGTAATGATGCTCCGCATAGCCGCCCACAGTCACTACCGCAATGGCCATAATCCGCTGTAAGGGAGATTGTGTATACTTGGCTGCTGGAAATGAAGCCCAGTGAACTCCGAAGCTGGGATCCCACTCTTCTCAGGGGAAGGATCCAGCTTTCATTTCCCAGAGGTGCTGGGATCTCGGGTACGAAGGGGGCACTGATGCACCGCGGCTCTGTGGGGCTGGCGGGCGGGGGGATGCCACTCTGGCCACCAGACGGCCGAGGGCTGGCTGGGTGGGGCCCTGCCACTGGCTCCCTGCTCCGGTCACTACAAAGCATTCTTGTCTTTTCTTTTTCCTTAGGACGACAGTCTCTGTTTCGCCCCATCACTACCAGCAGTTTTCCTTTCTTGGGTCTGGACAAGCCAAATGTACCATTTCGAACATGACATCGAAAGACAGATCATCTTACTTCTACCTGTCCTGACATGATAGAGAATCACATGTGTACCAGGAACATCATGTGGGTATAAGGAGAACCTCAGGCATAATGCAGTCACTGTGGGAAAAGGTTAGTTCATCTTCTGATTGAACATACCCCACTCCCCCCCCCCCCACACACACACACTCTCATTTATCAACTAGCAACATAATCTGAGAGACAAAGGGCTTCCCCTGGACCACCAGGAGCCTCTCCACCTGGCTGACTCAGAAGCTTGGGGCTCCAATCTAGGAGCAGCCCCCACTCACTCGGCATCTCAGCCCCCTAAAGTTTCTTTACTCTGTTTTCTCTCCCTCCTCTCCCACATCACTCCTGCTCTGGCCTTGGTAGAGTTAAGGACATGCTTGGACAGCTCCTGCAACTACAGGGCATTACAAGCTACAATTACACTGTCCACTGATGCCACACAGCCACTGGCATCCTCTCCTCTGTCCTTGGGAAGACCTGTGTGACTCAGGGGAGACAACGAGGTCTTCCACGACTTTACTTCATGCTGTAAGTGCTTCTACAGGAAGCGTTCGCAATCCTCAAACACTGCACTGTGGCCACTGCTGGCCACTGCCGGCCACTGCCACACACTCACGAACCCCTGCCCCAGCAGCCCAGGGTGCCGTGCGGCTGCGTTCTACCTGAGGCTGGGGACGACGCTGGGGACGATGCTGGGGACGACGCTGGGGGTGGCTGCGTGCTGCTCTGGGCACGGAAGGTGGTAGACCTGGGAGTCGGCACTTCGGCCAGAGAAGCGTCTGTGCTTTGGGGAGAAGGAGATGTCCTGAGCAAATGTGAAGTTGGGCTGTACTCTTCCGAAATGCCAAGCCCTGTAGTCAGTACTGTTGCTGATGTGGGTACACTGGTCAGGGTGCTCAATCGGGTAGTATCATCTACGTGCATTTGGCTCCTTTTTGTGGTAACAGTAACTTCTGTTGAGATTCGTGGCACTAGAATTTCAGGACTTGTTGGCAAGAACTGTTTTCCAGTCGTAGTCTGCACTGCCGTGGGGCCAGCCATCCGAGTAGCTGTGCTTGGCGAAGGGCTGGGAGTGGACACGGGGGGAGGAGCGGTCTTGAGGGTGGAGGCCGTCAAAGCTGGAGGCGTCTGGGCTACGCTGGTGCTTATGGCTGGAAGGGTCTGCTCAGTGGAGAACTCTGTTAAGGCGGGGGGCAAGGGGATCCCCAGAGTAGAGCTCCTTGTTTCCGCTTCCGTGGCCTCTGTGGAAAAAGATTCCGGGCTCAGTGGCTTTGATTCTGTGACGGATTTCTCACGGGGTGGGTTGCTCTGGTTCTCAGGATCTGCTGTTTGGCTGCTGGACAGCATCGTCACAGAGGATGCCATTGTTGACGTCCTAATTACAGTCCCAGGAGTGTCCCTTGCCCTGGGCAGGACCAGGGTAGAAGATGAAGGTGGCAGGGTTGTCTGGGACACGGGCAGGGAGGCGGGGGTAGAGACTGTCAGGAATATTGGCAACGGCGGTGGTGAGGAAGACAAAGGTGTGGGCGCGTCAGGGATGGACTCCGGCGGATGAGCGGAGGCCCTGGTGGATGATAAGGTAGAGGAGATTGACTGGTGGGACTGTGACACTGAAGGCAGGGGCAAAGGGGACCCTGACGTAGAAGATGAGTCACCCGCCAATCCAGTATGCGCGAACAGAAGGTCCAAGGTGCTGGACATATTGATGGTGGGTGTGTAGGAGGGAAGGGCGGCTGTGCGCAGACCCAGTGACTCGGTGGACGGCTGAGCATACACCCCTCCATAGGACGAGACGTTACTTCTTTCAGTCTGAACCTGAGACGAGGAAGGATAGTCTGAATGTGAAGAGTCTGAGATCTTAATGGAAGAGGTGGAACTCTCCCTCACGTCCGCGGACGAACTGTTGTCTGTGATGGACAGTAATGCTCGTTCTCCTTTGGTGAAAGTAGACGAGACGTAGGTGTGGTCTGTGTGGTCACTGGACGTCCTCTGCTCAGCATCTGTGCCACTCACTTGCTCGTAGCTAATTCCAGTGACTGCAAAGGGAAAAACCAGAGTTAGGCCAACGAAACATAACAATCTCCTGCACACGCACTGTCAACAGAGTCCTATCCATGAACTCCAGTGGGCAAAACTCTTCCTTTGGAGACGTGGTTTTCAGTGGAGAGCTCTCCAGAGAGACCGTGTGGAGGGCAGGCAGGGTCTGCGTCCGCTGAGCCGACCACCCTCCTGTGAGGAGCGCGGTGGGCCATGGAAATGGCAGTAAAGAGAAGAGGAGCCAGGGGCCAAGGAACAGAACAGGCCCAAATCCCTCCCATATGCCTTTTTTCTTTTTCTTTTTTTATCCTCACCCGAGGATATTTTTCCATTTTTTGTTCAGATAGAGTGGGAGGGAGAGAGAGGAACGGAGAGAGAGACAGAAACATCGATGTGAAGGGACACATCGAGTGGCTGCCACCCGCACGACCAACCAGGGCCGGGGACAAACTGCAACCGAAGTACGTGCCCTTAGCGGGAACCCAACCCGGGTCTCTCCGGACCGCAGGCCGACGCTCTAACCGCTGAGCCAAACCGGCCAGGGCCCATATGCCTTTTTTCATCAATGCAAACTGGTATCTTAAAAGCTCTTAAGACCCCAAATAGAACAATTGTTATGCCTAAATGGAAAAAGGAAAACCCTCCCAACTTTCCACTCTGAGTGATGAGATATTTCTTTCCCAGGAGACTGGTCTCGGCCACAAAGTGGCTGTTCTCTTTATTTACACATCCTGCAGGCACCGTGGGCAAATGCCTAGCCGAGCGTGTGGGGGAGGGAGAGGGGTGGGGGAGTTCTCTTCATAAAGAGGCTGTGAGGTGCTTGGGGTGGACCGTGAACTTCACCCTCCCAGGACCGTGAGCAAACCGACAGGTGAGTGGAAGGAAAGTGGGAAGGGACCCTGCTCGGCACCTCCGACGGCCTCGCCCGTGGCAGTCGTGTTCCCGCGTGGAGTGGCGCTCTCTGTCTCCCGGGGCGCCGCTGTCTCCGAGTGCCCCTCGTCCACAGAAGTCCTGCTCCCGTTGGTGACAGACCGCAGCGTACGCTCTCCAGCCCCAGTGACAGTTGCTGAAGTGTGCGGACTGTGAGCGCGGGCTCCGGACGTCCTGTCGGACCCTTCCTGCGAGTCCACACGGACTCCCAGCTCAGGACTGTCTTCAGTGGCTGCAAGAAGATTGAAAAGGGAAAGACAAATACCATCAGATTTCACTCATGTGGAATCTAATAAGCAAAATGAACTAACAAGCAAAACAGAGACAGACTCAGAGAGCAGGCTGACAGCTGTGTGTGGGGGTGTTGGGGGGCTGGGGGAGTGGAGGAATTGAGGAAAAAACTCATGAACACAGACAATGCTGTGGTGATTGCTGGAGGGAGGGGGTGGGTAGGTGGAGGACTGTATGGGGGAATAAATGGTGATGGAAGGAGACTTGACCTGGGTGGTGAACACACAATGATACAGATGATGTGTTGTGGAATTGTGCACCTGGAACCTGTATATTTTTGTTAACCAGTGTCACCCCAATAAATTCAATGAAAAAGAAAAATTGTAAAAAGAAGATTGAAAAGGGGATGACTGGTCAGTGCAGAGGGCGGGGGTCTGTGCAGGGAAGACAGCGGCAGGGACTTGAGTCTCAGGAATAAGCCTCACTCCCTGGACTGTCAGCCCGACGCTTCCCTGTGCTTCCTCAGGGTCGTTCTCGGAGGAAACCCGATGTGCGGTTCCTGCAGACACCTGTCGGTGACTGAAACCTCTGTGGCACTGCGGATCCCACGTTCAGGTGACCTGGATTTATGGGAAGGGTTGTTACTTACGGGGGTAGGATTAACACTGTGTTCTCTCAGTGATACATGATAAGTAGTTGATGTCAGGGAAACTGGTAGTGGCTGTTGAGAGGTGAATAGTGGGAAGAAGACTAACAACCCTCCTGGGGCTTTAGACCTTCTGATGAGGCCCAGCAGGGAGGCCACAGTGCTTCGAAGTCTGTCACCTCCTGGTAGGACCAGCAACACAGGAACTGACACAGGGCCTGTATCATCCTGTTCATCCTGACACAGCCGTGAGAAATGGCACGGTGATCAGAGGTTACTGGTGGGCCTGGTGTGTGTGTGTGTGTAAATGTATTTGTTTTATTTTCTTGGTGGGGACGGAATAGGTACAGGTGCCACATGAATAAATATCCCTTTTTTCCTTTCTTGGGAATGGAAGTGAGGTCCAATTTTCCTTGGCCTAGATACTTCATAATCTGGCTCCATGAGAAAACAGACTCTTTTCCTGGTTCTTATTCCTATTCCCAGATCAGACTAACTGGTGATGCCCCGTGGACACTCCTTAATGGGAATCAGAGGTGAAGCTGAGGGTTCGGTAAGTTCACTTCCTGACAGGTCTGCGCTCGCTGACAGACAGGAATGAGTTGGGGACAGAATTCACAGCGAGCTGGAGCAGGACCGGAAGCCAGGACCATGGAAAGAGGCTCAGGCTGAAGGGCTTGAGAGACCCACAGAAGACCGGCTAGGACAAGCTTGAGAGCTGAGCGGATCTGAGCATAAGATCCCTCGGCAGAAAGGACAGGCCTGGGGTGGGGAGACCATAAAGGCTCTGTTAGCCACTATTTCAGTGAACAGCCCCGTCAGGCTGGTGGACTTGACTCAGCGCAAGGTCATGACCTGAAGCAGAGGGGCTTTGTTCTCGGGAGCAGCCCGAGGACGCCGAGGCTTGATGGCAGAATCAGCTTTGGGTGATGAGGGAAGACGAGCTAAAGCCTTCCTTTCACCCACAGTGGGTGGTTGCAGGAAGGAGGCCGTTCCATATCTAGCACGTTGTAGCCCCAAGATCCGCCCACATTTTCTACTGGAACCAACTGCGCATTAACTGCAGAGCAAAGGGTGCCGGGAAGGGAGAAGGAAGAGCTACAGAACCTATGCTCCTGGTTTGAGGGGTAACAAGTCTGAGCCCACAGTTGTGAGGGTGGAAAATGATTTCTTTGTTTAGGAGACAGATGATGCGTTTTCCATGCACAGACATAAAGAGCATGAGTGTCCTCCACCCATCCACGTGGGTTCCTTCATGATAAGGGTGTCTTCTCCCATCACACGCTACTTTTCCTCATCAATTAGGATCCTCGGTGGGGGAAATGGAGATGCTATTGTTAGTGGTGGAGAGGTGAGAATTTGAACCTATTATAAGTTTAAATGACAAGTTAATGTATTTTGCTTTATCCAATTCACATGGATAAGGCTGCTGAAAATAGTTTTTAAAAATTACTCAAGAACATTGCTAGAAAGGAACATCAAAAGAAAAGTTTATCAACATATCAAGTTGATAAATTGGACTTCATCAAAATTAAAAACTGTTGTGCTGCCAACAATGTCATCCAGAAAAGTGATATGACAACCCAAAGAACAGGAAAAAATACCTGCAAATCATGTCTGATACGGGACTGGTACCCAGAACACATAAAGTATTCTTGTAACTCAAAAAAAGACAAATAAGCCAATTTAAAAATAAGGAAAAGATCTGAATGCACATTTTCAAAGAAGATATACAAATGACCAATGAGCACATGAAAAGATGCTCAGCTGGAAAATGCAAGTCAAAATCTCAATGAGAGCCTGACCAGTGTGGCTCAGTGGCTGAGCATCGACTCATGCACCAAGAGGTCACTGGTTCGATTCCCGGTCAGGACACATGCCCAGGTTGTAGGCCAGATCCCCAGTGGGGGGTATGCGGGAGGCGGCCAGTCAATGTTCTCTCTCATCAATGTTTCTCTCTCTCTCTCCCTCTCCCTTCCTCTCTAAGGGAAAAAAAGAAAGAAAGAAAAAACAACAAACTCCAATGAGATACCACAACACACCCACCAGGATGGTGACAGTCAAAAAAGATGGACAATAACAAGTGTTGGTAAAGATGTTGAGAAACTGGAACCCTTGTATACTGCTGGTGGGAAGATAAAGTATGGCAGCCACTTTGGAAACAGTTTGGCAGTTCTTCAAAAGGTTAAAAACAGCGTCACCATTTAATCCAGCAATTCAAGAGAACTGAAGACGTATGTCCGTACTGGAATGTGCACAACAGTATTATTCAGAATGGCCAACATATTTCTTCTGAAAAGCCTATATATCTATCAGTTGATAAAAAGATAAACAAAAGGTGGTACATCCATTCAATGGAATATTATTCAGCCATAATATGATGCTTGAAAACATGATGCTGAGTGAAAAACACAAAAAGCCACATATCATATGATTCCATGATTCCATTTATAGGACATTTCTAGAACAGGCAAACCCATAGAGACAGAAATAAATTAGTAGTCGCCAGAGGCTGAGGGGAGGAGTGACTTCTGGCACCAGGCTCCTTTTTGAGGTAATGAAAACCTTCTGGAATTAGATTGCAGTGATGGTTCCACAACTTTGTGCATATATAAAAACTACTGAATTGTGCATTTTATTGATTTATTTTTTGGGTACGTGCCCCTAGCAGGAACTGAACCCGGGACTCACTGGTCTACAGGCCGTCGCTCCAACCGCTGAGCCAAAGCAGCCAGGGCTGAATTGTACACTTTAAATGGGAGAATTATAAAATGTGAATTAAATCTCAATCGAGCCATTTAAATGATGAATGCCTGGCCCTGGGGTGACCAACCTTTCAGAGCCATTGGACTGAGGCAGGAATGGGGGTGTGGGGTGGGCTACAGGGAGTGGAAGGACATAGACAGAGAGGTCCCTGAGCTGGGGGGGGGGGGCAGGTGGCAACAGCAACTCTGGAGATGTACCAGAAGAAACTGGGATACACACAGGTGTATCTGTGTCCACCAGCTAGAAGCATGGCCGGGGATGATGAAACCAGAGGAGGCCGCAGGGCTGTCTCATCAGTGCATGGCCTTACTCCGCTACGGAAGATCCTAAGCCTGGGAAGCCCCGTCCCTCCACGTGTTCCAGTTCCGTGCAGTGGAAACTCACTCGAGCGTTCGCCACGTGATGCTGAGGACTCCACGCTTTCCGAGGAGGACGAGGACAAAGACCCGGCGGCCGGCTCAGAGTGGCTCCTTTCACCCAGCGCTGTGTCACTGCCTCGAGACTGTGGGACAGAGGCTGCGAACTGGGTCACAACTGAAGAGTTCACAACTCCCGGGTAGGAAGTAGAGCTTCCCGTCCCGTCTTCAAGCATCGTGCTGTTGGCCATGACCCAGCGTGCAGTGCTCTCTCCAGCCCTGCCCGAGGGGACTGACCCAGACACAGGCTCAGCCTGAGACAGACGGAGCCCATTTCCTGTGTCAGAGCTGCCAGGCCGCTGGCGTCCTTCTGAGGCTGTAAGGTGTCAGGGAAAAAATGCCATTACATGGATGTGAAAGAGATCCCTCCACCACTGAGACGTGAACCCCCCTCTAAGATGCCCTTTGCAATGACCTTGCATCGAATGTATTACGTGTAACCTGATATGCACGTCCATATTCTAAATAATTCAAAACTCTTCAGTGTCAATAAGAGAGCAACACTGAAAATAAAGGCTGGTGAAGGGGGGGCTTTTAAACAGCCTGTGCAAAGCAGCGGAGTAGCTGACGGGCTTGAGTACGGTATTCTCTTTCCCCAAAATGGTCAGGGGAGGGAGCGTGTGATCCCAGCAACACAAGGTGCCTCCATGCAGCGCTTGCTCAGACTATTTTTCTAAAACAGTTCTACCACTGGTGCAGATCATTCTAATACTGAAGTATGAATTTGCGCAATATAGTTACATCTGCACATCTGAGTTCTAAGGATGGTCTATAAAGTAACCGACTAGCTTTAACGAGCAGGCCGGCTCTCGCTTTGGAGATGCAGCCGGCAGGGAGGGCTCGGAGGCTGAGGGCTCAGCTCGGCCCGACCCTTCGGACCCGTGGTTTCGTCATCTTCAGAAGAGGCAGGAGGAACGATGCCTGCTGGACAAACTTCACAATGTTTTCATGAGGAAGAACGCCAAAGTGTGTTAATGTGACACACTAGATGAAGGAGATGGTGTTAGCGAAAGACACTCTTTTTCTTAGAGACTGCACATGGTCTTGAAGCCACCCTTAAGAAAATCCAACAATATTTTTTAAATCTTCACCCCAGAATATGTCTCCACTGATTTCAGAGAGAGAAGAAGGGAGAGAGAGAAAGAGAGAGTGAGAGAGAGAGAGAGAGAGCGCCATGGATGTGAGAGAGAAACATCGATTGGTTGCCTCCCATACGTGCCTCAACTAGAGATTGAACCCATAACCCAGGTATGTACTCTGGGTGGGGATCCAATCCACAACCTTTGGGTGTACAGGACAACACTCCAATGGACTAAACCAACCCGCCAGGGTGAAAATCCAACAATTTTTAAATGTCCGTCATAGACCAAGCAAAACTGAACACTTACTTGGGGAATCATTTTGCCAAAACCCCACTGAGACCTCAGAAGATGTCAGGCCAAGCCCATTTTCTGTGGACGGCTCAGTGAATTCCCCATGCCCTGGACTCCCGCTCACGCCGGTGCTTCGCCTCAAGCCGGCCTCAGGTGGTTCGGATGGTGGAGAACGGACTGCGGGGGATGTTGGGGCAGTTTCAGGGTCCTCCGAGAAATCCTCTGTCTCGTTCGGCTGTCCCACGCTGACGGTTAACGACGGGACCACCCCTGGGGCACCACTGGGGGACGTGGCGGCAACTTGCACACTCTTTGTCCAGCTAACCGAGGGGCTTTGAGGACCCGTGGAGTTGTCTAGCTCTTCCGTACTTCCAGAGACTAAAATGAAAAAATAAAATAAAATAGGCTTCAAGACTACTGGGGGGGGGGTGAGAAAACTGGGCTGTAATTACAAAGAATCCTATTCCACTTCGGTAGATACATCTAGATAATGTGGACCTGCTGTGGACAGACACCCTGACACACGCATCCACTCGCCCCTGCTCTGACCTCGAGCTCAGTGGAGAGGCGGCGGCGCCCTTCTAGCACAACGAGAAGCTTCCACTCGAGCTGAAGGGGAGGCAGAGAAAGCCTCTGGACACATCTGCCTTTGTTCCCACAGAGGAAGGTAAAACCTGTACTCTTGACTCCACCTTAGAGCGTCTGTAGGGCAGGCCCCCGTGACAAAGTACAGGTTTTTGTTTGCTTTGTGTTAGCAGCTGTAGCCTTATGTTCAAATGTTGTTATAGAGGAAAACCCCTGCATCGAGACGAATACAAGCGGGGCCGGGCCAGGGACCGGCTCCCAGGCCCCCCAAGAGGCCTAGGGCTCCGCACAGCGGCCACACCACCAGCCCAGAAGAACCGTCCCAGCCTGTCACCATCAGGTTCTTTACTGCTTCCTACCTCATGGCCACCATGAGCCTTATGTTTTAAAAAAACTATTAACTGAAATGCACTTATTAAGTAACAGAGTTTCTAATCAGCAGGAGATTGTCACTGGTACCCTACTGATTTGATTTCATTTCAGCCACAAACAAACAGGCTCCATTACCGTTCTTTGCCTCTCTGGGCTTTGGGGACCAGCTCTCAAGTTTCCATTCTACTCCTGCGGGCCCTAGGAGACCAAGGACTCCAGGCTGGGAACAGCTTTCCTGATGAATTGATGGCGGAGACTGGATTAATTATCAGAAACTTCTAGGAACTGAATTATAACCACTGTTGAAAATGCACGGGGTGTGCCCAGACGGACAGGTGGCTTGCTCACGGCCCCTCTCCCAGAGAACTTCCCCAGGGCGCCCCGCGATCCTCGCGCCAACAGAACCACCTGCAGGCAAGCTTGGTGAGTGGAAGAAACATGGCAGGCAAGTCAAGGGCGAGAAAGAAGAGCGTTATTTTTCTTCTTCAGGCAAAAATAATGAAAAGGACTCTATATCTTATAATGAAAGATATCAGCCTGTGGATTATGACCCAGAAGGGAAAAAGAAAGTTCTCATTATAATGGTTCCTTGAAGACCAGTCCTGTGTGTAGTTCTGATCAAAAGCACAAGTAAACATTAAACGTAATTAGAAAGAGAGCACAGGAAACACAAAGGTCCCTCTTACTCGTGTAGAAACCACAGAACCACTATGCCCAGAACACGGGAGCTCTGGGCACTGGGCCTTTATGAAGACAAAACGCAGAGGCAGACAATCCACACAACTGGTCATTAAAACAAGGGGAAAGAAAGACCCAGACACAAAAACAGAGTCCCAGCTGACCCAAACCCACCCCTACTCACAACAAAAACATCAGTATAAAATAAGGAAAGCACCTGGCCAGTGTGACTCAGTGCACTGAGCATCGTCCCAGGGACGGAGAGGTCCCGGTTCGAATCCCGGTCAGGGCACATGCCCGGGTTGTGGGGTATGCAGGAGGGAGCCGATCGATGTTTCTACCTCTCTCTCCCTTCCTCTCTCTCTGAGAAATCAATAAAATATATTTAAAAATAAATAAATGAATAAAATAAAATAAAATAAGGAAAGTATACTAGAGGTACATCCCAAATCCTTACTCTAACACTTAACTTCCCAAGCCTAACTTCATTACAGTTATCGTATACGTCCACCCAAGTACAGTCTCATCGGCTTACTGTGGGCTCTCAACCCCAGGAAACTGCATTATTTCATCGACTCAAGGTACAGTGGCAGTTCTACTGGACCCAGCCTGAATACCTGCCCAGCAAATCAGTGGCCACAGAAATACAATTACGAAAGTCACCAATGCTGACAGTCACAAAAGGGAAGCGGCCTGAGGGCTCTATGGAACATTTGCTTCTTCAACTCATCATCGTCATTATTAAAAGCTGCCATGTGCTGGCCTGGTAGGATGTGCCAGTACTTTACATGCTCCTTTATACACTGTGCCAAGGGAGTACTTTCTATACGTAACCTCGCTGAGTCCCCACAGTCCGGTCCCGAAGCAGTGTGAACTTTCCGTAGAGCTGGTGCCTCTTCATAACAAGACAAAATGTTTGGCCCTGCTGGTGAGGCTCAGTGGATTGAGCGTTGTCCCATGGTCTGAGAGGTCCCAGTTCGATTCCCAGTCAGGGCACATGCCCGGGCTGCAGGCTTGATCCCCAACTGGGGGCGTGCAGGAGGCAGCCGATCGATGTCTCTCTCTCACATTGATGTTTCTATCTCTCTCCCTTTCCCCCCTTCTCTAAAAAAATCAATAAAAACGTATTAAAAAAAAAAAGACAAAATGTTTGGCTCTGGCCGGTTTGGCTCAGTGGTTGGAGCATTGGCCCTTGGACCAGGCAGTTGTGGGTTCGATTCTAGTCAAGGGGACATACCTCAGTTGTGGTTTGTTCCCGGCCCTGGTTGGGTCATGTGGGAGGCAACCAATAGATGTGTCTCTCTCACATCAATGTTTCTCTCTCTCTCCCTCTCTCCTACTATATCTGAAGATAGATGGAAAAGTATCCTCAGTTGAGAATTAAAAAAAAAAAGACACAATGTTTGGTCAAACTAATCTATAATCACCATTTATACCACTAAATAAGCGCCTGTTAACGACATGTAGGGGAGACCCCCCGCCCCATGTTTCTAACGAATAGGCCAGCTCTGTTGGTTAGTTAATAGTTGTTCTTCCTTGCTCATTTCTGCCCTTAAAGCAGCCGTTCAAAAATGGGAAGACCATCCATTTGGGAGCAGAAACAAGCCAAGTTCCCTGACTTTATCACAGGAAGTGGAAGGACGGCCTGCTCCTCCGGCAGAGTATGTGGGTCAGTCTCCAATCTCGGCACAGACGCTGGAGCCCCAGGCATGCAGCAGAACGCTCCGCCTCCGCTCGACTGCTACCCAGAACCTGCCCCAAACCGAGCTGCAGCAGCTGATACCTGAGAAAGATGTGCTAAATCTACAACCTCCTCCGCTATGTATGCTCTTTTACAAAGTGCAAGCACCACAGAGCCATTACCTGGACCGCATTAGCTCAGCTCCCCACAGAAATACTCTCCTGAGCTGACATCCATTACCACACCCTCAGCCCCGATTGAGACTCTATATAAAATATCACCTTTTAAAGAACATTAGCACAATTTCCACAAAATAGCAATTGATGGCATTTTCTATTATGATTCTCAATGTTCCTTATACTGTATAAATATTCCTCTTAGAATTTACTGCCCCCAAAACACTTATGCCCGGGAATGGAACTGTAAGCTTATCAGACAGCCATCTCATGCCCCACCCGGCTTTCCTTTGTGCCCTGGTTTCCAGGAAGCTCGGTACTAAATTTAGTGCTCAATTGTAGCGGCTCTCACACAATCCAACATACACATACCTCTCTCCACCTTCCAACAAGGGCTCTCTCCCTGCTAGTTGCTCTACTTATTCTTTCCCTTTATGATCAAACAGTACGTGATCATTATAGGAAGTATGGAGAGTACAGAAAGATATAAAGCAGCACAAAATGTAAAGCAGTGAGGAAAATACCTTCAAATGGCCCTCAATCTCTTGTTTCAAACCTGACTTAGCTCTCCGGGCCTCCACCTGCTGTCCTGCAGACGCTGGCTGGCCGGCCGCACGCGGTTTGCTACTGGAAGCAGGTAACCCCCGGCTCCCCGTGTCTCAGAGGCTGCGCCGTGTGCCTGTCCTGTGCCGCAGAGCGAGGAGCGGAAGGAGGCGCAGCATGCAAAGGCTGATGTCTTCTGAGCAACAGATGCTGGAACTAGGAAGACTCTCTGCTCTGACCCCTCATGTTTCAAATAAGGAGCCCCACTCTCCCCGGAGCAGGCTTCTGGCTGGCCGCCCTAGCGACCACCGTGAGGAGCACACTCATCTAACAGTCTAAGTGCCAGGGCTCACTGAGTCACTTTTATTAGTGTATGGAGTGGCCTGGTGTCAAATGACACAGGTCCCCGCCACAATTCCTCTTCACTTCTGTTCCCTACAGATGGGCCAGCTGGGCCGGGTGACGCCGGTCTGCCTCTGACAAGTCCTGCCAGCCCTCGAAGCACCCCTGCCCTGGTGCCCAGAGCTCCTGGACCCGGTGCCCAGGAAGGGATAGTGAAATCTCACGATGTAGATGGAATGGGAGGAAGGAGTATACCAGAGCTCAGGTTAGCAGGTTGGTGGGTACTAGCCCAGCCTTAAAAGTGAAGCAGAGCTTTGTTTCTCAATTGGCTCCAGGTCCCTGTGCAGGTCCCCTCTGCATCCCCACAGGGAGGACGTCCTGGAGGCTGGGCTATCCCCTCCTTTGATAGCAGCCAACACCCCCTTCAGCATCTAAGCAGGTGGGACTCCACCTAGCACAGAACACCCGGTTCCCTGAGAAGGAAGACATTCTTAGTGAAAGACTCCAGAACTGGAAAGACAGGGCACTACTCTTTAACATTAAAAGTATAAGGTTCTAGAAAGATGAATACCGGAGGAATCGAAAGACCATGTATTTTTTTTTTAATGTTGAAAGACAGAAGGGACTACAGAGTCAAGTGCAGCAAAGTTAGAAACACAGGCTGACTTTCAAACATACCACAGTAGTGGGTTGAATTTAACTTATAAATATTAAATGACCCTGACCAGAACTGTAGCTTCTTTGAAAATGCTTCCTTTTCCACCATTTACTGAAGCTGGTTGTAAATCACAGAACCACAGAACTTTGAAGCTGGAAAGGATCGCAGCATTCATCCTTTCTAACCAACATTTAAGAATAACCTTAAAAAGCAACCTCCGAAAGACAAGAGTCATACATTACACACATCCTCAGAGGACACGGTGCAGAGTACATGGGCGAGGACCCGCTGTCTTTAAACGGGCGTTACAGACAGGACCTCTGGATTCAGTTTTTACTCTGATGACCTAAACCCAAATCCCTAGTCTTGCAAATACTTCTAAAATCCTCTGACCTCTAAATTTCTGAAACGGCAATTTCTAAAGCAGCCTAACTTCTATTTCTCAAGAATATCGCCAACCCTGTCTGTCCTGCTCCCCTGGGCACAGGGTGAAAACGCGTGCAGCCTACACCCACTCGGAGAGGAGAGAAGGTGGGCGGTTTCCAACATTCTCTTTGGCCTGGGCTGGGTGAGCCCTGTGATGTTTGGGCACATGCTACTCCCCATTACTTCTCACCTGGACCTTGTTCTGGGGCAGTGGGGAACCTAAGGGAAGTGACAGACACAGCCCACGTGCTCAAGAGGGTGACAGTCCACCTGGGCAGACAGGCATGATAAGGCATATGCGGGATAAGGCATATGACACGGAGGACCAGAGGGCCGAAGAAAGGCTTCGTGGAGATGGAAATACCTGAGCGAGACTTAACTGATGACTAAGAACTGGAATGGCAGAGAGGCAAGTACTCCACTCCTGAAGGCTTGCCAATACCTGCATGGCATGATTTGTAAAAAAAAAAAATGATGCCTAGAAAAATGCATATCTACGTTATCCTTGCCCTTGAAAGAAACGTTTGCAATAGTGAAGAGCTACGAATCTAACTCCTAATCATATGATATGATGCTCACCATTCCTCACCCCAGCATGTGGCCTCTGGTGCAAGAATTCTCACCAGCGACACTTCGTCTCTGCTGTGTGTGTATGTGGGGGGAGGGGGAAGCAAAGGTCTAGAGCAGCCACCAGGCCAGCTATTATTTTCCTCCTTACACAGTTAAAGAAAACATATTTCAAAGATGAACTTCAACACTGAGATAAATTGTGTGGGTATTACTTTTACTCCAAATACTAATTTGTGCTTAATGTCTTTCCCCCTTAGCCTCAAGGAAGAGTGCGTCTAGCTATACACGTCGATTTATTTCTACTCTGAATGACTTCGGTGTTCAGCTGGGACAGGGATACTCACTTGCAGAGTGACCTGAGCGGGGGGAGGAAGCTGATGTCCTGGAGAAACGCAGCCAGGAGAGCTCTGGTTCTGAGGAATTTCTCTTCCTGGACAGTGTGGTCTCTTCTCCCGTCTCCGAAGCAGGAAGAGAGGATCGGCTCAAAACCGAAGTGGCCACCTGGGTATGCACGGTCCCTTCTTCGGGGCGCCCCTTCCCCCTCGCCAGGGCACCCCAGGAGGTTCTGCTCTCTGTGTGAGAAGGGGCACTTCTTTCTTCTGACCCTGTACTGCTGGCCGGCAGGGGAAGCCTCCCCAAGGCTGAAAGCAGACAGCAACAATTAACCTTCCTCCAGCAGACCTCCCAAGGTCTGAGTCATCTTGCAGTGAGCTCAACGGACCTCTATACATATACAAACATGAGAAGAAATCAGGAGCAATTATTCATTCTGTGACAAGCTAACCCCTGCACAAGAGACCACAAACTAAGACAAAGACTGTCTTCAGATCCCACAGACAAAGGCTGTGCATCTTGTGGTAAAATCATCGGAAAACGGGCACAATGATAAGTATCAGATGATACGGAACCAGAGATTGGTTTCTGATCACCATGACTCATCACCCACATTCCACAAAGTCGGTTCCAGAATTTACTTGCATTCAACCAAAATAAAATCTCTGATATCTGGATGACCAACAAACCCAGGAGCTTATGTGCAGAGGAGCTAAGCTCCAACTCCATTATTCACGGAACGCGAACTACTTCCACACACACTCTCTACCAAACCCGGTGCCCCGACCAGCCCTCCTGCCACTAGATGGTAGAACTCCAAGGGCATCTCTGATGGCTTCATCCCTCCTTTAGGCCGGTACCAGTCCCAACAATCTTCCTTTGTGAAGAGTCCTCGATCAGTCCCTTCCTCTCCATCCCCAAGGCTACCAGATGTCCAGATGTCTGTGTCTGCCTGGGTGGTCCCCCTAATTCCAGGTTCCTTTCAACCCACCTCCCCTCCCAGACATCTTCTACCTGCCTGCCAGGTGAGTCCTCCCCAAATTCACTTGAATCACATCACTGCCTGGTTCAGAAGTCTCCAGCAGCTCTTGCCACTGTACCAAATCTAAACGGCCAGCCTTTTCAAATCCTCCATGACTGTCCCTCACCCTATCCACACGACCACCCACCGGCGGCGGCTCTCCTCGCTGCAACCATGCTCCCCCAAGGGAGGCTGCCGGCCTTGCTGCCCCACCAAGGGCCCACGCTTCTCCCCTCTGCACCGCCCCGCACGTGGTCCGGGCACCCACTCCTCAGCCACCCTTCCGCCTCGCTCCGATGCGCAGACTTGGGCTCAAATCCCAGCTCTGACACCTGTTAGCTGTTTGACTTACACCCTTTGGACGAATCGACTTCTCTGCGCTTCAGTGTCCAAATGCCTAAGATGGGAACAGTGACCCCACGGGCTTGCCGTGAGAGTGGGATTGGACACGTCGTCGTAGCAGACCCCGAACCAGCGCCGGCTTTCTGCCTTCCCTTCCTCAACCACATCTGTGCATCCAGCCCCAGCCCCTTCTGGAAAGCCTCTGCTGACAACGGCAAACCAGCTGTGCAGATGGGAGCGGCACGGCCACTCGAGCCCCTGTCAACAGAACACGCAGCCACACCCCCCCACACCCGGTGCCTCTGGTCCTGACAGCCTGTCAGGATGGTGCTGTTGGATCCAGGCCAGCCGTGGAACACCGGTTCTGTGGGGGCTCATAGGTCTCTCGGCAAATCTACACCCTTGTCTGGTTTACACGTCTAACCCGGCTCACCACAGCGTGCCCACACGGAGCCTAAGTCACAGGTCTGAGCCCCAGCCCAGGACCCTGTGGTGGGCGCTGAGGCTCAGGATGGGAGAGGGGACTGGCAGAAAGTGTGTTTTCTCGGACTTGACAGAGGTGAACGAGGTAAGTGGCATCAGCACAAGCTCACCGAAGGTGCTGCTCCGGGAAGCCAGAGCTGCCGTCTCGGGCCCAGCAGGGGTAGCGGTGGCATTCGTCCTCAAGGAGTGGTTTCTTCCTCCAGCACCTGCTGTCTCAGTTTGTGGAGTCGAGTTTTCTGGAGCATCTGAAAGAGTGTGGCTCCTTCCGGGGCTCTGAACCATCACCCCCCCTTTGGAGGCCATGGTGGAAAAGTCCACTTGATTCTGGTCCACAGTGATAATTTCTGTGAGGGGCTCAGTGTTGCTTTCTGGCCAGTGGTTCCTTACAGCAGTTGAAACAATCAGAAAATGGATGGGCGAGAACTCACTGGCTTCTGGAAAGAGAGAGAAACCTTCAGAAACGATACCATGGGCAGCTCTGTCCGTAAGAAGTGGATTTAGCCCTGGCCGGTTTGGCTCAGCAGTTAGAGCATTGACCTGCGGTCCAGAGAGACCCAGGTTCGGTTCCCGCAAAGGGCATGTACCTCGGTTGCAGTTTGTCCCCGGCCCTGGTTGGGTCGTGCGGGTGGCAGCCACTCGATGTGTCCCTTTCACATCGATGTTTCTCTCTCTCTCTCTCTCTCTCTCTCTCTCTCTCTCTCTCTCCCTCCCTCCCTCCCACTCTATCTGAACAAAAAATGGAAAAATGTCCTCGGGTGAGGATTAAAAAAAAGAAGTGGATTTAAGTAGAACAATTTTGCCATTTTTCTTCCCACAGTGATCACTTTTTTTTATCCTCACCTGAGGACTTTTTTTTTTTTTTTTTTCATTTATCTTCCGATAGAGCCGGAGGCAGAAAGGGAGGAAGAGAGAGAAACTTTGATGTGAGAGAGACTCATCAACTGGTTGCCACCCACATGACCCCAAATGGGGCCAGGGACAAACTGTAACCAAGATATGTGACCTTAGCGGAAACTGAACCTGGGTCTCTTTGGACCAAGGGCCAACGCTCTAACCGCTGAGCCAACCCGGCCAGGGCTCCCACAGTAATTATTCTTACAATCAGTCCAGTGAAAGAAGTTACGAAGCAGCAATAGTATCTAGGATGACATTTTACACTCAGTGGGATAAATGATCAAAATGGACAGAGATCAGCGTGGGGCTCTGGGATGAGGGCCAGAACCTCGGGCATCTGGGCAAGCTCAGGGGGAGGGGGACGAGGGGCAGTGTGAGGGGGTGGGGGAAGGGAGCCTTCTCCAGTGTGAGGCTGTGAGCTGGCTTCTCGGGGCGTGGGTAAACGCTGGCCGCTCTGCATCCTGCACCTACTCTTGTAGGCAGGAGGGAAAACATGTACAATTCTGGAGAAACATGTGAAGGATTTGGCCATACTACCAAAACCTTAGTAATGTAAATAGGTTTGATGTAGTAACTTCACAGGAAGAGAGGAAGAAAGACAGAGAAAGGGAGAGATGAGAGAAGGGGACAGATGAGAGGGAGGGAAGAAAAGAAGGAAGAACCTAAAATTCCTATAACAGACCAATGAAACCAATTGCAGTATAGCCATATGAAAGGACACTATGAGGTCACTAAGCCTATGTTGTAAAATAAAATAAAGATATTCTACAGGTACCCCTGAGTCAAAACAACAGGCTTCAAAATAGAATTTGGAGTATAATCTCGTTTTATTAAAAATAACAATAAAAGCAATCATGTGTGTAGGTGCCAATCACTGATGTAAGCATTTCCCACACACTGATTCATTCAAGTTCTGCGCTTGGAGGTCAGAGCTCCTCTCCCCACTCTGGATGGAGTGCAGAGGCCCGGAGGTCACCGGGCGGCCTGCGGAAGCCCAGGCCCCTCGGCTCTCAGCTGGAAGGTCAAGTGCCCGAGTCAGAGCAAGCCCGCCTGCCCTCGCCGACTTCCAGTGCAGAGGTGCTGAGGAAATGTGGCTGATTAGGATGGACTGTTACTTGTTTATAAATTAGGAATGTATTTCTATCTGAAAAATGTTTAAGTGATCACTGGTTAAAAACGCTGTTGAGGATGGAGTTCAAGTTGAGGGTAAAATGAGGCACAGATGGAATCACCTTGTAGTATCAAGGTCATTTGTGAAGGCCGTGAGTTCGGAGGCAGGGCAGGTGGGTGGGACGCCCCAGTCCAACCCGAGAAGGCATGTCACCTATGTGACTTTACATTTTCTAGTAGCCACATTTTCAAAGGTAAAAAGAGACAGGTGGAATTAATTTTAATAAATATTTCATTTAACCTGACGTACCCCAAATAGTACCACTGCAATATGTAATTGATATAAAAATTGAGGTATTTTGCAGTTTTTGGTATTAAGCCTTTGAAACCCAGAGTATGTCACTAGCCACGCTTTCAGAGCTCAACAGCCACATGTGTCTAGTGGCTACCACACTGGACAGTGCAATCCTAGAACAAGCATTCTCAACACTTCCCTTCTGGACCACTCCCAGCAGAAGCAGTGCGGTTGGAAGGGTGGCAATGATCAAAACTTCCACCCAGCCGGATGGCTCAGTGGACAGAGCATCATCCCATGGGCTGAGAGGTACTGGTTCGATTCCCGGTCAGGGCACATGCCCAGGTTGTGGACTCAGTCCCCAGTAGGAGGTATGTAGGAGGCGGCCAGTCGATGTTCTTTCTCATCCATCTCTCTCTCTCCCTCTCCCTTCCTCTCTCTCTAAAATCAATAAAAATAAATTACTTAAAAAAAACAACTTCCATAAGAGATTCTGACAAACTTTCCTAAGGGAATCATTTCCTCCCCCAATCCCTTGAGATTACTGTTTCCATGCTTCCTATTCTGTTTCCTGTAAGTGATAATTAACAGAAGCTTCCTGAAGGGGGAGGGAAGTTGTCCAAGCATCTGGGCTCCTCGGGGACCAGCCCCCCGATAGGCAGCATACACACTGACCCAGACATGGGGTGTGGAGGGATGTTTTCAGATACGGCTGCAAAGTCCCTAAATTGAACTTGAGACTCTGGGGCTGTGAACAGCAATGACCCGTATGATGTCCCCTCTGTTCTTCCTGTCTGGGCTGCCAAGGCAAGCTGGCCTCCCAAGAGGAGGTGAAAGAGTTTGAGGATGCTTTCTCTACCCTCTCGGTACAATGAGAGAAATTATCCTCAAAAGAAGCCAGAAGACAGTGATTGAAGGAACTCAACATCCATGCCCCAAAGCTAGCAAGCCATAAGCAAAGATAAGGGAATGAGTTCAGCTTGATTATACCCTAAAACAACCTGGGACTTGTGTAGGTGGGCCTCAGAGGAAGCAGCAATGCCCCCTGTCTAGGGATGAGAAGGGGAAGTCGCAGACCCCAGTCAAGTCCAGGAGTCCACTGCAGTCAGGCCCCCCGAGGCAGGACATGGCTAGCACTGAGCCACATTCTCTCCCCAGAGGAAAGTAAGACATGCACACGATAAACAAAACTAAAAGGTAGACAATAGTCCTGAGGTATCCCGAATAACCTTGCCATGAAACAAAAAACGCTGAATAAAATATTTTTAAAAATATTTCTAAATGTAGTGCTGAGTTGACAAGTTAAGTAAAGAATCAAATCTTCTGAGGTCAAAAATGAAGCAAGAACTGGAATTCAGGCGGTGAGCTAACTGAAGCTGGCAGCTTCCCTGAGGCACCTGCTCAACACTTGGGACCTTGAAATTCTGTTTGGATGGGGGGAGGGGGGTCAGGAGACAAAACCCTCAAGGGGGAGTCTGGGAGGAAACTCCTGTGTACAACTGGGTGTCGGGCAAACAGAAACCAACCTGGCCTGCAGAAGGAAATAGCAAGGCCCTTGCATCTTGATCTTAGGTAAAAGAAATATAAATCTCACCTGAGAATTTGTAACCAGAAAGCTGGTCCTGTGCGTATGCAACACAAACTCACACCACCACAATTCAAGCCAAACATGTGCTCAAAAAGTGGTCTTGAACCTTATGACTATGCGAAAAACCACTAAATTATATACTTCAAGAAGGTGACTGTCATGGTATTTAAATTACATTACACACACACACACACACACACACACACCCTGTCGATGGGGGAATTTAGAGGTCCTAATACATAGTACCTTCATGTACTTGGCAAGAACAAATGTGAATGCTCTCCTGATGCACATACCCACAATCCAATTTTATCATTTACTAATAAATTCTGAAGAATAAGAGATCACAGTAAAAAATAAAAATAAAAAATCATAAAATAGCCCAGCCAGTGTGACTCAGTGGATTGAGCGTCGTCCCATGGACTGAGAGGTCCCAGTTCGATTTCTGGTCAGAGCACATGCCCGGGTTGTGGGCTCCATCCCCAGTAGGAGGCATGCAGGAGGCAACCAATCAATGTTTCTATCTAAGCATCCATGGACACAAGTCAGAAAACTGGACAAGCAAAGACTTCAAATCCTGGAATTATCAGACAAAAAAATATAAGTATATAAAACTACATGAAAAGAAATAAAAAAACTGAAGATGAGAGAGAAAAAAAAGACTATAAATAATGGTCAAAAACATTTTTTAAAAATCTAAATGAAAATTCTAGAAATGCAAAAATACAATAATTGAAATTAGGAAGCTCAACAGCTGATTAAATATGGCTAAAAAAGAATTAAAAAGTATAAGACAAAAGACAAGAGAAAGCCAGATGATATAAAAAGACAGACAACATGAAAAACAGGTGAAGATACAAGGAATTTAGAGGGATAAAGTCCAACACATATCTAACTTGGGTTCTAGGAGAAGGGAGGTAAAAGAGAAATGGCAATATTCAAAAGGGTAATGGCTGAGAATTTTACAAAACTAATAAAAAGTATGAATCCTCAGAGTAAGAAAGCCCAACAAATCCTGGGAAGCAAAATTCAAAAGAAATGTAGCCCTGGCTGGTATGGCTCAGCTGGTTGGGTGTTATCCCATGCACCAAAAGGTTGCTGGTTCGATTCCTGGTCAGGGCACCTGTGGGATGCGGGCTCCATTCCCGCAGGGGGCGTGCAGGAAGCAGCCAGTCAATGTTTCATTCTCACATCAATGTTTCTTTCTCTTTCTCTCTCTTTAAAAATAAATTAATAAAAATGAAAGAAAGAAATATAAACCCCTATCATAGTGAAACTGCAGAAAATCACACAAAAAACCTAGGTCTTAAAAACTACCAGAGGAAAAAAAATGACAAATCATCTACAGAAAATGACAGACTGCTGATTTTTCAACAGCAACCATGGAAGCTAAAAGACAGTGGATGTGTGTGTGTGTGTGTGTGTGTGTGTGTGTGTGTATTAACTTATCGTTATTGTTGAAAGTATTAAGCTATACTCCCTCTTTTCCCCCCATTGACACCCTCCTCCCTGCTCCTACCCCCTCCTGCCTTCCCCACACTATTGTC